GCCACCCCCCGAGCTGGCCATCCCAATACACCATAGTAAATACGATATATTCTACACTGATATCTCAACAACCACGTTTTTATTTTATTTAATTATTTACCGATAGCTTTTGATAAGGCTTTTCAACGCTATATATTAATTTTGACGAAATCTGAAACCTACATTGTTACGGTATTGAAAATTACGTTGCTAGGAGCTAGAAACATAAATATCTGATTATATCTCAATTACCAAGTTATAGAAATTCTTTGAACTCCTGTTAGAGACTAAATACCACTTGAAAAGCATTAGTTTTTTAAGGAAAAGTCCCTATAACCTGCCGTTGTTGTGATACTATGTTGTAATTTATCGCATTTACTATGGTGTTCTAGGGTGGCCAGCTCGGGGGGTGGCCAGCTCGCTAGGGAAATACGTTACTTCTTTTAAAGGTCGTCTATTTATTTATAGTCGAGGAATAATTAGAGCACTCGTGCGTGCGGGAATTAAGTGCAATCCTATTATGTTGAAGTTACACGATGAATGACGCTACGGAAGCATGTATGTCAAGGCCAACGAGGTGGTTTTGGTCTGATCTCTCTCTCTCTCATGAGAGAGATCCTATTTAATGGAGAGCATTTCTCCTGAACTATTCTCTATATAGTAGGTTCAATGCTGATCATGAGATTCATGCTTGGTGAAGCAGGCATTTCATGCCTGGAGACCCATGAAATCTCAACATATTATATTCTAGGAACTAAGTTACCAGCCGACTTACTAAGCTATATCGCCCTAAAATATCTCGAGCTAGGACTACTAGTAAGCTAACGAGATTTCTGCCTTAGGATGACTAGCGTTTAATTAAATTAAAAGAGGGTCGTGGCTTACTATAGAAGTAAATCGTAAAACCTTTCCCTAACAGGTCGGAAGGTCCTCTCTAGGTACGGTATTATTCACACCTTAAACACCGACGTACTAGAAGCTCAGGGCAAATTCCTTACGGAAGAATAGAAATTGTGAATAAAGTCAAAGCTATGTCTAGGGGAAGGAGCATCGAGAAGTGTGTGTCAAGGGAGTGATATGGTCCACCTCGGCGCAGACGGATAGTCGAGTGCTACTCCCCAATTTGACATTGCGGCTTCGAATACTTATCGTCTCTCAACTAGAAGGTCAGACCATCAATGGAATATCCTACTTTAGTCTAATGCGCAAGAATTGCACGTACCATGTTGTTTCAAAGTATGGCTTCAGAGTTGCTAAATCATCTAAATACAGACGTACTACAAGGTAAATTCCCATGCTTGAAGTCCTTTTTTGGACGAGAGAGGACGGTTGTAGGACAAGAGAGTGGTTGTAAAAAAAGGCGTTTCTGGGTAACCGAACCTACACCAGAAAGCAGCCGCAGCTCTTGGACCAATCTTGGCACGCCAAAGTGGAGAAAGGGATATTTTTAAGGCGCGATTGGTATCCCAGACATGGCGCGTATCCCAAATTTTGTTCAATCAAGTTGATTTCTGGTCTATATTGCAATTTTCTATGCAATTGCACGTGATAAAGTGCGAACAGAACTTGCGAATACGAATAACGAATATTACTGATTCCGACAAATATTCGTATTCGCAACAGCCCTAGTGCTGGTTTGGCTTGTCTGGCTGTGTCTCGATACCGACTTGGCATCTTCCCTGCCAAGGATTCGTTGTCGCCACGGCGATATGTGAATCGGGCCGGTTCCACGGGTTCTCGTTACTAGCGTGCAGCGCGCCACCGAGCTCGCAAAGCTTTGCAACGTTAACGGCCTCCCGGGTCCCACGCAAGCATTTTCTGTGTTGGCTGTCTTGCAGCTTGTGCCGTGTAAAAACAACTGCATCCTTTCTCTTTCTCTCTCCTTGTATAAATAATTGGTGGGCATGGGATCTTGATAGAACCCCGCGGTGCCAGAAACATCTCCCACCACGGCCGCCGCCCTCTAGGTCATGACATCATGGCGCCCGCGCCCTCGCAGCGACAGCTCGCCGCTATCTCAGTCACGGAGCGCGTTTGCTCTGCCGTCTCGCTGATTGGCACCTCTATTATCATAGCTAGTTTCATCGGCTCGCGCTCATTTCGGAAGCCGATCAACCGCCTCGTGTTCTATGCATCTTGGGGCAATATGATGGCTAATATAGGAACGTTGATTTCGCAATCGGGGATCCACGCTGGGTCTGGGAGCTCTTTGTGCCAGGTCCAGGCTTTTTTGATTCAGTGGTGAGTTTTTTCTTTTCTTTTCTTTTCTTTTCTTTTTTGGCTTAGTTCAATGGGTGGTTAAAGTACAGTGCGTATCTAATGGCCTGTAGGTTCATGCCCGCTGACGCTTTGTGGGCCTTTGCCATGGCGTGCAACGTCTACTTAACATTCTTCCACAAGTATAACTCAGAGCAACTGCGCCAGATCGAGTGGAAGTATGTCGTGTGTTGCTACGGCTTGCCCTTTATCCCATCCTTCGTATACTTCTTCATCCAGACCCAGGCCCGGGGCCGGGTCTACGGCTCCGCAATTGTAAGACAGACCACCCATAGAACCACGTACCCTTCTAAAATGTTCTAATATTCGTTGCATAGCTCTGGTGCTGGGTCGCATTGCCCTGGGATTACCTCCGCATCGCCGTCTTCTACGGCCCCGTGTGGTTCGTCATCTCCCTCACCTTCGCCATCTACCTGCGCGCCGGGTCTGTCATCTACCAGAAACACCGCGAGCTGCGTAACCTCAGCGGTATCGAGTCCTTCGTCTCTGACAACCAGCCTGATGCCCCCCTCATCACACCCGCCGGCATCCAGGTCACCAGCGAAATCGCCTGCTTTGCGCCAGTGCACCAGTCCCTGTCGGCTAGTGACGCCCCCACCCGCAGCTTCACGGCCTCCTCGTTTAGCCCGTACTCCGTCAGGATCGAAGGTGGCCCGATCAATCCCTTCAGCATGCTGCAGAACTTAGAGGAAAGCTCCGCACCTATCCAGGGCCCGAGTCACCCCCGATCGGACCCAAGTCCGTTCTGTACAGAGTTGTCTCTCAAATCGGCGCAGCATGAGTGCGGGGACTCGTATGCGCAGCGGCGAAAGGCGATAGAGGCGAGTTCTGCGGCGTGGGTGTATACGAAATACGCGATGCTATTCTTCATCGCGCTACTTGTAACGTGGGTAGGTGATTACATTCAATTAACTCAATTTAATTCAGAACAGCGTCCATGTCTAATCTGGTACAGGTTCCCTCCACGGTCAATCGAGTATACGCGCTCGCTCGCCCCGACAACTTCTCGTTCGGGCTCAACTATGCGTCTGGTTTTGTGCTTCCTTTGCAGGGGTTCTGGAATAGTCTTATTTATGTGTCGATCTCATGGCCGGCGTTTAAAACGCTGTGGAGGAATCTGCGGAGCCGCTCGATGGGGTCACGACAAACTTAGTTGCTTGTCATGTCATGCGACGATCCGAGTAGTACCTAGCTAGGTTGGTGGGTAAATTGGAGTTAAGGGTTTGTTTAATGAGAGTCTAGGTTGTATAGTGTCGATTTGTCTTTTTTGATATCGACAGTGGGAAGGCAATGACCTCTATCTGCGAACTGTCAATTCAAACTCAATGTTCCTCACTTAACATTATCATACTAGAACTCAAAGTCAATAAAAACGGAACCTGCATTAAATATGGCCCAAGAGAATAGACGCGCGCATGTCAAAGGCCCGTGGCCACATCATCTTTCTCGATACAGTTAAACCTAAGCTCTTACGACTTCATTGCCGGAAAACAATTCCAATATCTGCGAGTCTTGGCTGGATGTCATAGTCGACACTGGCTTTTCAGACCGCTTTCTAAAATAGTTAACTGTATGTAAGATCCCCTTTTCACTGTTTGCACTGTTTGCAAAAAAAGAGCTTGCACGGGATTCTACGGCAAATAACGGTGCTATAACATTGACATAGTTTATTGCTATAGGGACTGGTAAGTAAGGCTGGAAGAATAAGCCGCCTTGATAGGGAGGAAACGGCCCTGTCCTTTAACAGCTAGAAGCAATGGAGTTTCTGTCGATGATCGGAATGGTTAGCATTAACTTGTGAAGTCCGCACATGTATTTATACTGACCTGTAGACGCTAATCTCCACGGCTATATCTGGCTATGATGTTTTCTGATACTCTCCGCCTGCGATACATGCCGAAAAACGAAAAGCCGACGTACCGGAGAGAATCCGTGCCTGATATGCGAAAGGTCACAGAGGGTCTGCAACTATAGCCCCAGTAATAAGCTCAGTCGACCTAAGGGCAGCGAAAAACAGGCGGAAGTCGATGCAGCACTTCCTGAACATAAACAAAGATTAAAGGAGCGGGCCATAGGGAGACAATAGTGGTATCCTGCAGTGGATCTAACACGAACAGTAACAACCAGAACTTCAATAACAGCTGCACCAGCCGGAGCTAAACATGATCGATTTCGAGGCCGACATAAAGTACGCACTTGATCCCACAATGGCTTTTGGTGATGGCAACACACCCACTAGGGATAGCAGCCGTGGCCTTATGCTTGAGTAGAGTTCGGGGTTGCTCGACCCGCTAATCGTAAACGATGACACGGGCTAGAACCATGATTTTTGCTTTTCTCAGGTATCGTCAACCAATTCACCGTATTCACACATATTCTTGGCGACTAACTTTCATTTTGCTTCTTAGATTGCAGACTTCCCCTTGGCTTTCTAATCACCCACTTTCCATAAATGGTCTGGGATGTAGCTTCCCACCGAATAGAGCGGTCGGTCTTGATGACAATACATTTTCACACTATAACTGTCCTCCATCAGGTCACTCTCACGCATCGTCATTTCAGCCTTACAAGCGAGCGATGCTCAAGTCTACCATGTCGAGAGGCCTTAGACGAAATCTCAACAAAGTGGGGAAATTAGTACCAGCGTAACTGAAATGGCGGGAGATTGATCTCGTACGAGCACGGCTGTAGCGGTTTAACTACATATCATTCATAAGCTTGTATCTCCACAATATCTCAATTCACTAAATAACCTGAGTTCTTCTGGCGATCACTAGAAGAAGCAAGATAAGCCCTAAAATGAACCCTAGGATGCCAAACCACCAGGCCAAGCTGGTCACATGCAGCCCAGGCACCTCTACATTCATACCAAAGAGACCGGTAATGACCTGCATCGTGACGACGATCGCCCCGATAACAGTCAGCCGACTAAGAGCGTCCACTATTTGATTTCGCGTACAAGTGGAGTCAAATGAGAGCTGAGCAAGATACTTCGACTGCGACCGAGACAACATCTGCTCTGCAATATTTAGGTTGGCTATCATAGTCAGGACGTGATCCTGGATGTCGCCCAGGTATAGTTCAACCTCTCCGGGAGTGGACCCTAAGCTACCGCAGTGGCGGGCGAAACACCGGACAACATCCGTCTTCTCGTGCAGATGTTGGCGGATGTGAGTGACATCTTTGCGATAATTGTAGATGCTCCGGAGGGCTAGTCCAATGTCTTCGGGCCGCGTGACAGAAACACCGTCTTCTATTATCTCCACGCCTGTTTGGATACGATCGATTAAGGGAGCGAACCCATCCACAATATCGTCGCTGGGGCCGTTAGCATATATTCTATATTCTTAAGGGCATAACAGGGCCATACATGAGGGCGTAGCAGATCCAGTCACTAGTCAAAGCTAAGTGGCTCTCATGCTCCTTTATGCGGCTCCACACATGAGTAGGATGCTGGCTATTGTCATATGTAAAGGTGATAATACTTTCGCGGAAGACAATGCTGTAGACATTGGCGGACGAGATCCGGACTCCTGTCGCTCTCTTAGGCTGCTGTGGGGCCCGCAAGGAAACTAAATAGTAGGGGCCAAAAAGCTCAATTTTCTCTCGGGGCTCGCGGACCTTGATGTCCTCGGTGGTCAGCGGGTGGATATCCAACATGCGCGACAGTATCTCGATGTCCTCGTCGGATGGCGAGGCGGCGTGGAGCCACCACAATCCACTGTGCAAACCCGTCTCTAAAAGGGTCTCGAAGACAGAACAGGCCGACTTCAGCTGCGGGATACTGGAAGCGTGGGTGATTGTATTGATCTGGGTACTAAAGAAACTGTAATGTGGGGTTTCGCAAGCGGCCTCCATTATGGGACGCTTCTCCGGGGGAGAAGGGTCTACATTGTTGAGGGTGGAATTCGGCGTTCGGGGGGAAATTCAACCACCGACCCCATACTGTGGATTTGAGAGCACACACGACGTAAATCATATAGAAGGGTGATCGTGGTCGAAGGAGAAGAGGATGGATGGTTTGTAAAAGAGCGAGTGTGACGAGGAAGAGAAAGAAAAGACTGCTGTCTGCGCACGATGGCTCTTCCAAGTCTTGGCATTGTGGCGCAGTTGAGTTTATTCAAGGACATTCTTAAAAGGACCCCCTCTCCACTCGCTAAACCTAATTAGGTCTCATGCAGTAATTGTGTTTTCAATGCATTAATTCAGTAAAAATGCATTAGTTCTTGGAAATGCTCGATGCCCGGAGTACCGGCGATCATGAACCTTGGATACTACAAGCAACTAGAACGCCGGTTGTGAGAGTATCACCCCGCGAAGGCTCGATTTAGGATAGAGGCAGGGATCTCTATACCAGGAGTGGATCCAGCTAGCGCTCACTAGACCCCGATCTAGCTTTAGCCGTGTTCTTCCAGCAGCAGAGCATGGTCGAACGCATGAAGCCGGGTGTTACGCCTAAAAAAAGCAACGGCCGTCGCTTTAATCCAGTAGTGGACATCGACGGGAAATCGGCTGAAAATAAAATTCGTAGTTACTGACAGCGGTTAGTTATCACAAGGTTGCGACGGCTCCCATATTCAAAAGGAGCCGATCGGATATTCTTAGTTACATGATTGCAAAGCTTTCAATCAATTGGTTGTACTTATGGCAGAATTAATTTGGCTCTTACAGCTCGTTCTATGATATAGGTATTGTATTGTAGAGTAGGTTCGAGTGACTTACACTCGCTGCCTAAAGCGATGACTTTGGCTACGCAAGTAATAGAGCCTATCGTACACGATATTGAATTAAGCCAGCAAATTTTCGAGCGGGCACCTCATCTACACCTAGTAGGTCATTGATATTGAGCGTATTGCCTGATTTTAGTTAAACGGGGAGTGCGGTGTTTGCATTCGACCATCTCAACCAAATTGCAGGCTGTATGCCAACTTCACCAAGCGGTTAACTAGAGACAAAAGATGGCTCACACAATTGAAACAATGCAAATTGATATAGCTATCATATAGGTGAGATGGCAAGGAAACCTCCGCGGTACGTCCGTGGGACGTTGACTACCACGACACTTTCCACAACACCCACCAAATCTCGTTCACATCCCGAATTATAGTCATAGATTTTCCTCTACACAAATGCTGCATCTAATGCGACGACGGAACTCTATCGGATCGCAAAATATCTAGGCAGAAAGCTTAGGAATATGGCAGTCGATAACGAAGAAGGTTCAATCGCGAAGTTTACACGAAAGGTCCTTTTACAGAAAAAACAACTACGTCGGTAATTGTCATCAATCAAAGCCTGATCTTGTACGGGGTCACGAGCTTGCACCAAACGCGTCGGGATCGCGCGTTAAACCAATTTATCAATAGTCCAGAAGTAGTACCGCTGTGAGCGGTAATTAAGTCCGGTCACTAAACATCGATGTAGAGGTGCCAACAATAAGAGCAGCGCATTGATCGAGACAACTTGTACTAGTAGCGAGTGTTCAGTGCGAGGCAGGGGATCGCCCATCAGGACTTTGGCGATGTTGGCGATGATGTAGTGTAAACCACGAATTCAAAAGTAGTTGGGCCCGCGTATTTTCCAATACATATAAACTAGATATATCCTTAATTCAGATGATACTTTTAGTTGGAGAATTCGCTTTTCGAATAGATCCTAATCAACTCCACTATTACCAGTGGAGGCTTTGCGTGGCCGACTATCACTTTCGACTGTCACAATATATTTCAAGTATAGAGAGGCAACTTCTTTCTCGAACGCGGCGTCGGTATTGAATAATAGAAGGTGTTGAGATTCATGGCTTCTCCAGGCATCTCCAGGCATGAAATGCCTGCCTCACCAAGCATAAATCTCGAGATCAGCATTGAACCTACCATGTAGAGTATAGTTCAGGAGAAATGCTTCTCATTAAATAGGATCTCTCTCTCATGAGAGAGAGATCAGGCTTAAACAACCTGGCTGGCCTTGACGTACATGCTTCCGTAGCGTCATTCATCGTGTAATTTCAACAGAAGGCTTCTTTTTAGAAGCAAAGAAAAGGTTATAAGGAGAGCTAAATACCAACTTTTGCATGATTGTTACAGCTCATATTACAGAAAGTTTTCTTCCAAAGATATCTTAGAGGTGATAGAAAATACAACATTGCCAAAGATGTTATGGTTCAGTGTGGCAAGAACTCAGCGGTCATGCAATTTCAAAACCAAATAGGCCCAAAACTCGATGTCCAGTTGAAGGCTTTATCGCTGATCTATTCATCCCGACTGGTGAGAAACTATGCCGTGTCTGCTGACGAATATCCTCAGTGTGCCAGCTTTCCTTTATTTATTCTGTCAACAAAGCAAGAGAAATATGTCCGAGGAAACGCTTTTGGGACCGCATAAGAACCATGGAAGATTAAGGAGAAGTCGTGATTATATTTGGAGGCACCGAGGCTTGCGATGGCTCCTGAAGACATTCAGGAGTATCCTGTTGACACTGCATCATCGAAACAGGCCCTTCCTTTTCTCTGGTCTGAGAATTCGTTGACCCCTGAACAGGAAAATCTCCATTGTGTTTTGGGACTCGCCGAGAGAAAACCTGGAGGATGAATCGGGTGACGGGTCGGAAGGAAGCCTTGATGCCTCTACTAAAGGCCTGGAGGCCCTTGACAAATGGCCACATGACGAGCGATATACTGCCGACGACGGCATTGAAAAAGAGAGCAAAACGGTGGTCGGGGACCATGCGTAGGATCATGGCCCACGGCATACACCCCACGGCACAGATGAGACAAACGGCCCATAAAATCCCACTGAGACGAGTCACGCGAAATGCCTGGCCGCCAATGAATACAATCATTATTTGTCCGCCGACAATAACGGCGTTGATGCCCAAAAACCAGTAGTTCCGAAACATGCCCTCGAAGACATTGAACTTGTTGTCGAGGCGGCGGCAGTTGAATTCGTTAAAAACTTGCATCCACACGAAGGTGTTGAAGACAACTGTGGAAAGCTGTTTGGATCGAAGATCTGGGTCGCTGCTGTCAAGCTGTGGATTCAAAAGTTGGTCCCCCGCGAAGTACAGCATGAAGATCACAGCGAGTTTGTAGACTGTTTGTCCGAGGATCATCTTCCACATGTTCATGGTGAAGAGTGGGGCACTTTTGGGTACGGGTTTTCGATCCAGAATTTCTGCTGTCGGGCCGTCAGTGGCTCTGTTTCACCTCGTGTCAGCGAACGAACATATATGCTACAGGAATAGGCTGCCGCTTACAGGGCTAGTGCAGCAAATGTGTCCATTATAAGGTTCACCCAGAGCAGCTGCACAGCATTGAGCACGGGGTTATTCGAATCGCTATAGATGGACGACACAAACGTCAGAATAACGGCCGTGATGTTGACCGTGATTTGAAACTGGAGGAACTTCGCAACGGCGTCGTTTACCGTCCGTCCCCAGGCGATCGCCGTAACGATAGATCGGAAATTGTCGTCTAGGAGGATAATTGAACTAGCCTCTTTGGCTACCTCAGTGCCGGCAATGCCCATAGAGAATCCAACATCCGCGGTTCTCAAAGCAGGCCCGTCATTTGTGCCGTCGCCTGTCACAGCAACTGTTTCGCCAAGGATTTTAAGCCGTTCTACCAAGATACGCTTGTCTTCTGGCGAAGACCGTGCCAGAACCTGCAGGCGGGGAATAACCCGGTCTAACTCTTCACCTGATAAGTGTCGGAAATCGTGGCCTTCCATGACTAACCCATCTTTAGTCTTAATACCACAAGACGATGCAATCGCGATAGCAGTTGCAATATTGTCCCCAGTCACCATCTTAACTTGGACTCCCGCGGAATAACATTTCCGAATCGCCGGTGGAACCTCAGGCCGAAGGGGATCCTGAATGCCCACGACCCCGACCCAGGTCATGTCTCGGAAGACATCGTCAAAATCAGCTGAACACGGATCATCTTCTAACTTCCTGGCATCTGTCGGAGGCCAGGTTAGATAGTCCTTGTACACCATTCCAATCGTCCGAAGAGACTCCCTGGCGTATTTATCAATGGTCTCAATGATTTTCCGTCTGTCGTCCTCTGACAGCGTCTCCGCGTGGAGTCTTTCCTTGGAAGTAGCTATATCTGCAATCTGCGCAGAGCATGCACGGACCATAATCTCGGGAGCACCTTTAACAAGAAGCCGGTAACCTGTATTGCAATGGCGATAAACGAGACCCATGCATTTCCGCGTCGAGTCGAATGGAATAAGCTGGACGATCTCGGCGGATCCCCGTTCTAGGGTGAGATCCATACCCAAATAATCATGGGCTAATTGAAGCAGTGCGACTTCAGTCTTGCTCCCAATGAACTCTTTTTGGCTGTTTATCCCTTCCTCAAACGCGGTAGAGTTCAAGGCAACACTCTGAACAATAAGATCCCGCACCGGAGCCGACATTTGCTGGAAAACCTCTGAGATATTCCTCGAGCTAGGCCGAGTTTCACCCTCGGATGGTCGACTGAAGCTTTGATTTGAGCCCCAGGTGCCGGCGACGACTGTCATTTTGTTTTGTGTTAAGGTCCCTGTCTTATCAGAGCATATTACCGTGGCATTTCCCATTGTCTCGCAGGCCCGTAGAACGCGAACCAGGTTATTCTCCTTAACCATGCGAGTCGTAGCAAAGGCCAGAGCAAGTGTGACTGCGAGTGGAAGGCCCTCTAAGGAAGAAAGGGATGTTAGTGTTGACCAAGTACTATAGTCCGTAGTAACAAGGGCTCACCTGGAACCGCGACAACAATGACAGTCACAGCTACAATTAAAATATCAACAAAATGCTGGCCCTTAACAGCAGGGCTCTGATCCGGATGATTTGGAAGATCGGCAACGAATTGGAATAACAAGACAAGGAAGAGAATAATGGCTGCACTATGGTATATTGTTAGTACCACTTTTTATACCTAGGGAATATATTCCTCACGCTGAACCCAAATACCCGATCCAATTTGCAAGATAACCGAGTTTTACCTGGAGCGGTGTAGGATCGTTGGAAGTCTGCAGTGACAGCATGATCCGACCGTATGTGGAAAACCGTCCAACACTGGTCACCAGATAGGTGCCCACGCTTTCGAGAACCTTGCTGCCGGAGACCATAAACGGGTCAAGATTCTTGTTTGCGCGGCCTTCTATAATCCGCTGCCAAACGTCATAGCCATTCGTCTTCTTCATGTGGTCTGACTCGCCAGTAACTGATGACTCGTCGCATTTCACACCATGTCCCGAGATCAAGACCCCATCAGCGGGTATAGAGTCACCGGGCTCTAGGTGGAGCACGTCGCCCACCATAATATCGTAAACAGATATCAATGTTGACTTGCCTGATCGGATAGCTTTGACCTCGCGGTCATTGTTCTTATAGAAAGGTTGAATAAATGACACAGTTTAGGAAATCAAATGACACTTACTCGCTTGTTGAGTTTGGCAAATTGTTTTTCCTTTTGCCAGTCATTAGCTGCGGTGACCACGGTGACGATCAGAATCGCCACGCAGATAGCCACCCCTCCACCCACTCCACGCCTGTGCCGCCCTCCACCGTTTCATATATCCCCAAAGCCAATGAAACAATAGCGGCAATGGTCAACAATATAATGATCTTATCGTTATAGGCGACCCAAAACAACTTGAAGAACCCAGCTGACTTTCGAGCCGGTAGCTTGTTCTCGGCGTAAACCCGGATGCGGTCCTCGAATTTTGAAGAACCGCTGGTTGTTGAAGTTACTGCCGGAGCCGGATTGGCTTCCAGCTGCGGTTTAGAGATATAGAGCGACTTGTCGTGCGGGGGGAACGTCAGCTGCTGAAAATCGACAAAACCTTCCAGCCGACCCTCATCGACGGATAGACCGGCCATTAGGTCCGTTCGGAGGCCTTTCTCTAACCCTTGCAAGCCACCGAGGGCATAGAATGCTGCGAGGGACTTTGGATTCTGCATTTTGTTCAGCTGTCCTGGCGAGAAGGCGAACCGATTTTCGTCAACATCGAAATCAGCAGCCTCATCGCGAGGATTTGGTGCCAGTGCCTCTGACAGCGACACGTCGTCATAATCTAATTTGACAGTGGGATCCGAATACACATCTGAGTAACCCGTGGAGCGGACCACTGTGGCCGCAGTAGATGCGATCGATTCCGAGCGCGGAGGTAAGGCATCGCCATCAATCGACCGCGAAGGCCGGTGCGAGCCATGATGAACCAACGGTGGTGCTGGATCTAGATTATTCCGTATTATATCTAGCGACTGAGGAAATACCGGGCTATGGTTGAGACCCATTGGTCCTGAATGGGCTGAAGGCATTGCGGCGGATGAAACCGATAGGGACCGCTGGAAGCGAGATACTCTTAGACGACTGTCACCCGATGCATTTTTGGGCCTGATTGACTCTTCGTCAGGAGAGGTTGTCACCATCAAGGGGGCGGGGATAATGGGTGCTGAGACGAGTTGTTGTGAGAAGAAGGAGAAGCCATGGGCGCACTCTGATCGGCACTTGTCCCTCCAGTACTTACTTCATTTGAAATTATCCATCTCTCATATGAGGGGACCACCCCAGATGCTGGGGTATGTGCTAATTATCCTCATTCCACAAGGGGGCTGTGTAGTGGTTTCCAAAAAGCTTTGGGGGAATGGGAAGACCGTTCAACCACGGGCAATAGCGCAAGGGCTCACGCGCCAGCAAGGATACCAAGAAAGATTGGTCCTTGTTTCCCATAAATTTTGAATGATAAGAGAGGGGGTGTGATGATCGTATTGCTGAACACTAATAATGCAGGAACTCTATCCACGATGATCTTCTTCTCCGGTGCCAGATTACGCGGGAGTAGCCACAGCCTCGATGACCCACCAGAGCTACAGTACCGAACAACACTAAACCTCTCTACGTACGCCAAGATTGAGGAGCCGAAGGCGAGCTCATACCAAATTCAGTAGGCACAAGGGTGAGGAGGGCTCCTACACAGGCTCTCTCGCGCTCATAGGGTTTGGTGGGAATATCCTCTAGTTCTCTCTCTGAATCTAGCTCTATATAAAGCGCTCGATGTCTGTATGTCAGGCCCTTTCGAAGTGATGACTTGAAACCGCCTTAGGAAGCCAACCTAGATATAACCGGGGTTGAGCTTGCTGCTGTGTCTGGGGTGGCGAAGAAATTCGACTGCGCCTCAATCTAGAGCCCTGATGGCATTGCAGGCTCGGGAACCATAAACTTCCTATTACTGTCTAGGTCAAGGGAAGGTAAATTACGTACTTGGTGCTCTCCCAATCAATGAGAGGCGGGAGTGTGTCAATTGCGTCATGGGTTCTGGACTCTAATTCATGCGACGCAGGTGCTGAAGGTCACCCTACAAAAGTGAGCGGCAAGGTCATCGACAGCACGAACCACTAATAAACTGTGTTACAAGGTCGATCTGGCTTTATCACATTTCTTCCAACCGTCAATTGTGATAAACATGTACCTGATTCCCTCATGTGCTGCGATGCGACCAATCTTATGGTCAGCCATTGTTTATCGAAGATGTCGTAAGAGTACGAAGGTATAACATAACTGATTTCGGATATTGCTGTAGCTCACCACCGGTAGCGGCAGTGTAGTTGGTTAGCACATTGAGGCAACCTGCAGCGTCATGAACTGGTCATTTTTTCATCCCTGTTGGGTTCGAGTCCCGACACCGGAACAACAATAACTATCCATAATCGCATCTCCCTGGGAAGACACTATCGCCCGGGGTAATGGCGACCCCAGCCTCTTCACATCGTAGTGGTAGCCTGCATATTGCCAAATACGAGGGGTCAGGGTAAATGAAACCATCCTTCCATCTATCCATCTATGCTGTAAAATATCTTGTCAAGAAGCAGCAGAGAAACTGTCATGCAAAGGTAAATAGATAATGTCTTGCCGGTCGGGGTACAGTACCCCCCGCCGGCACACAGTTCCACCACTTGTGCCGCAACGTCATAGTCGACCACACAGAGCTCCATGGCGTGGTCGACCATGTATAAAGCCAATCATTATTTGCCTCGAGCAATGTGAATTCAAGAGATCTTGTGATTCAAGACTAAAGTACTATCCTCGCACTTTGGGGTGGTTTGATTCTACATTCTCCCAACATGGTTCCCCGGCCCAACCTGAAAGTGTCAGACCGGACGGGTCTCAAATCACCGCCGCAGGATCGAACACTACGATTCAGAAAAGATGGCACTTTCCATATCGCTGTATTTGAGGACCTTCATTTCGCCGAACGTACGTCTCGATCTTTGCGGCAACGTGATGTGACAGGGATAGAGAACGTACACTCTAACCTTCTCCCAGATAACGACAAGGATGCCAAATCGAAAAAGGTGATGTCATACATTCTTGCCGAAGAAGACATCGACTTTGTAGTTCTCAATGGCGACCTAGTATCAGGCGAAAGGACACTGAAAAGCAACTCCAGCGAATATGTCCTCTCCGTCATTTCGCCGCTTGTCAACGAGGGATATCTTTGGGCGTCGACCTACGGCAACCACGACAGCGAGATCAATCTCGACCCGGAAGAAGACGTATTCAAAACTGAGACGCGGTTCCGCAGCAGCTTGACGCAGAGCAGAGTTTCTGGGCCCAGGGCTGGAATTACAAATTATTATTTACCGGTTTTTTCCCATTCAGCATCGAAAACCAACAAGCCCGCACTTCTCTTGTGGTTCTTTGATTCTAAGGGTGGACATTATCACCAAAAAAATGGGGAGGGCGGTTTATCAGCTAAGAGACCTAATTGGATCGATGGATCAGTACGAAACCCGATCGGTGATTGATTTGATGACTGACTGGATTGAAGGTGGTGGATTGGTTCACCTCGACCAATTCCAAGCTAAAAGCTGAGTTTGGGGTCATCCCATCGCTGGCATTCTATCACATTCCTACCCATGCAATGCTTCATTATCAGCAAGAAGGAAGCGTTCATCCACAACTGAATCCCGGTCACAACTGCGAAAGGGTGAAAGCGCAAGGCACCATAGACTGGAGCTATGGTAGCCAGGATGTGAAATTTATGAAAGCGCTTCTTGAAACTGAGGGGCTGGTCGCAGGATTCAGTGCCCATGATCATCAAAATGATTGGTATGGTTTGAACTCCCAAGAAAGCATATTTGAGGCATTTGGTTGAATTTTAACTATCGAAGGTGCTTCAAATGGGACGAATCGCTCACGGAACACGGATTGACCGGAAATGGTATCAACTTGTGCTTCGGTCGGCACACAGGGTATGGAGGATACGGAAATTTGACCCGCGGTAGCCGCCAAATTTTACTCCATGAATCTAACCTCAGAGATAATATTGAAACATGGGTTAGATTAGAAAATGGGGCTGTTTCAGGCAACGTCACGCTGAACTCGACTTACGGCCAGGATCTTTACCAAACGGTTACTAATGGTGTTGGGAAGCCGAGTGTCCACGTGCAGGGCCATCTGCTCTCCGTGTTCTCGTTATGGGCTTGCTTTTTAGCTCTGTGGCGTTAGGAATTCTAAGATATGATGGCTCTATACCTATGTAGATACATCGACTTTCGAGGAAGCTAAAATTAAACTAGGAGGAGGTCTTGGCCATTTGTCACGCCTTAGACGTCGTTTACTTTACTTAAAAATTGATGCTATATTGACGTGTATCAAAATTTGAGATCGAATAGGAAGAGCTTGACTTTAACATAGGAGCTCTTTGTTAGAGAGGGTGCCGGCACTTAACCAAGGAAGAGCTTCCGTTCAACCACCCATAGATCTCAATCACTATGAGCCCGTTAGCCATAAGCGTGATAATGAAGAGGGGGCGGAGAATAAGGACGAGCTACCTGCTTATAGCTCCAAATCCAAACAACATCAGTAAGACAAAATGGCATCGAAGCTCTACATCGGATTCCCTACCTGACAATCAACTCTGAGAAATACCAATTGACCGGAAAGAGACGCAGGGACGTGCAGAACGACAACGCCGGCCACCATGACTGCCAAATGGATTTAAAATCGACATTTTAAGCATTGACTGACTTGCGCAGTCAATAGTGTATTTTATAGATATCAGCACAGTGGATGTTCCAGTACTGGGTCGAAGGGAGGAACGTATGAGGTGCATCAGACGCAAGGTCTGCTCGACTTTTAATTAGTCAAGTGTTCAACTTGTAGACCGTGGTTGGGGTTTGAGGACGTACTTATAAACTTCTAACGCCGACGGCTACCGAGGTTGGTAGGCGCGACCTAGGCATATTAGTCACGCTAATGCTACTGCATCGTCTTCATTATACGTGCGATAAATTGGCAAAACGGGGCTTTTTAGCATAAAATACCGTCCGAGCAAACTAGAACTCGAGATTAGCTAATTTACCGCGGTCGGGGGCTACTATAGCCCCCAACCGGGTCCTATTGTTATATTGTATTATGAATACTATAGGTTAGTTGCGCTTATACAACGATAGCAAGACCCTTGGATATAAGCAGCAATAAACTGAGCTCTAACTACGTGCTAGTATCGCTTATAAACGATAACTAAAGTAGTTGATAGCTAGTTAAAAAAAGTTGGTGTTCTATTATGAAATAAATTAGTGCGTAATTCGCCAACGAATGTTTTAGGACGTCGTTAAAGGACTCTAGAGCCCATAGACCTTATATTAGTGTAAAGACCCTACTAATTCCTATTTATTCGAGATGAATTCCTTAACTCTGCGCATTCCGATCAGCTAAAATTGGACTCAATGATAGCATACAGTCTGACTACTGCATGGATCATGTAATCTAGTCTTCCCCAATCTGCTTCCATCTTCTCTTCCATCAGTAAATACATGCAGATAGTTTAGACTTTGCCACATATCCTATCCCTTCTCAGAAGTATTGTCTGAGTTACCGCGCAACGACCGATACCTCCGAAAACTGCGAAATGGCCTCTCGAAGCGGACTTGCCGATGTTTGACGAAGTCCAAAACCTAAAAACGCAACGATGGTTCGGTGAACAATCTCAAATGCCTTAAACCCATCTAGAGTCCCAACCATCATTTGCATGGCCGGTATGTTCTGAACAGGCAGAGCCAGGAGTTTCAATAGAAACGGCAAATCGGAGAAAGTGTAATGTTGAGCTTGGGCTAGTTCCAGCTCTAACCTCCAACCCCGCAGATTTGACCAAAACTCTGCCCACGATGGGTCTGTCGTCTGGGTCTTATTTTCATGTCCGAACAGAAGGAATGGACCCTGAAGCCCTTGTTGAACCACTGGTCCAAACATTGACCCGTCCAGGTTCGCTCCCGCAACAATCCGACGGTCCAAATGCATGGCTTCTGCGGTGGCCGCACCCCCGACAGAATGACCGTACATCGCGACTCGCCGAGTTCTCAAACCCGCTGCCCTCATTCCAGGGAGTAAATCTGCTATGCCAGCCTTTGTGCTTAGCTGATCTAGCACGAATGTCACATCTCGCGCTCGGGTGTCGACATCCAGTGAAATCTGCGCGTCACTAATGTTTGCTGCAGTCACGACGCTTCCGTCTGGAAACTCCAGGAACTCGGTATCATAGGGATGATCAAGAGACACCACGATGTACCCTGCGCTGGCCACAGACTGTGCTAAGGCATTGTAAAACAGCCGCGTCGTGCCGAGAGCAGGCGAAAAAATCACCACTGGAAACTGGATGTGATGCTCTCTTGGCGGCTCTGGGCACGCCTGGAAATAAAGGGATTGAAGTGACCCATTGGGAAGTCCGTATGCGCTGTACAGTTCGGAGTAAAACGCGGCTGTTGTGCTGGGCAGGTAATTTATCTTCTCGAGATCGACTTTGCAGTGGGTGGGGGCGAATATCGAAGTCATCACTGCACGCGGTCCATGTTGGGGATCAAAGGGATCGGCTCTGGTATTGTCAATCATGCTTGCCGCGTTGTAAAACACATCATATGGTCCAAGTGGCGTAGGTATCACCACTGCAGAGACAGACAGAGCCACAATGGGCAGCAGACGAAGAGTTTGAAGCATCATAAATCACTAGACGATGCAGTCCAGGATTAAAGTAGGATAAGTATAAAATCTTTAAGTAATGCTGAAGTGGATGATGTGATTTTAACCACAATAGTTGGAGGACCGCCCTGACTTTTATAAACCCAGAATGAAGAGGCGGAGTAGTAGACCAGCCCCCCTGCTAGCAAAACATCCGTAGCAACTTACAAATACGAAATTTGTCTCTTCCGTCAAAGTATATGAGTTTCCTGAAATGGAACTGTTAGAGCGTTAGTTGATCAGATCCAAGTCGGTCACCAAGAACAACCAAGTCATGTGGATCCTTGTCTCGCGATATTACTTCCTAATTGGGTTAGCACCATGTTGCAGCCTGCCGTCAGACCAGGTTTCGCTCAAATATATCTATTTTCATCAGAATGGTCATCGGGGATACTCGCAATTTATTCATTTGTTAGATAATTCATCAAGATCATGTCCTCATCAACAACTTTACAGGGGAGAATGGTCGGTCCACTGGACAAGCGAAGACGGGTGACGCGCTGCCTCGGCTGTGCGAAACGACGCATCAAGGTCTGGGATGTGTAACCCCAGTTTGCTGGGATCAGTGCAGCTAATTCTTGGCAGTGTGAAGGGGGATTTCCATGTGCTCGTTGCATTCGACAAAACACGGTGTGCGTTGCGCAACAGCAATCGGCACATGGTATGACTATGTTTGTCAACCAAACCCAGCAAGATGATTTTGGTGGAAGTCACCGAATTTCTGATCAGAAGGGCATGGCTATTACCATTAGGCACAGCCCCGGGACTCACCAACTTGATTTCATCAGGAGGGATAAGGGTACCCGCTTTCTTGATTATTTTGTCTCTTTCATTCAGCAGAACATGTTCACGATGAGATTCTCATCAATAGTTCCGGACCTGCTTCCTCTAATTTCAACTTCACCAGTCCTGTACAATGCAGTGATAGCGGTTGGTGCTTTGGAGGCGAACCGACATTTCGCTGGACGCACATTACTGGGAGAGGAACCTCCCTATGTGGATTCCATGACCTCTTACCATAAGTCAATGGGTATTTTGCGGTCGTGTCTGGGAAAAAGCAATGTGATGCAAAGAGAGGACGTTCTCTGGGCCACATTTTTCCTCGGGCTGTTTGAGGTATGCTTTCACATCAGAAACGGTATCCATTATCTGATGCATTAGTTCGTGTTTGGCTGACATCAATACACGTAGTTGCTCTCGGACGATTCGGGTGAAGGCTGGGTCAAGCACATGCTCTATGGAACATCAAAAATGCTCCAACTTGCAGGACCAAGCGATTGCATGTCATCGGCCCGAAGGATATTCTACGACCTTTTTCGTATTCTCGAAGCCAGCCGAGCATTACTCTATAATGAGGAAACAATCCTTTCGCAGGAATGCTGGCTTCGACTCCAAAAAACCCTGTCAAACAATGCCTCTCGATGGGAGCCCATGGAAGAGATTATAACCATCATGATTCAGACATCCGCCTTCAGCCTACGGTAAGTCGGTTTTGACAAATGAGCAACTTGTTCTGTTTTAATAATCCGGACGACAGAGCTGCTGCTATAATAAAGATGATTCCTGAAGCAGAGCGGTTCACAGATCCATCAGTTGCTCTGCTTGCGGCTGAAGGACTCAATGCCCAAGACACTATCTGTAACTGGCACACGCAGACGTTGCTGCAGCTGGTCCAGGATGGCCCTAATGAATATTCAAACTTAGCTTTGTTGTATTATCACGCGCTGCTAATCTTTCTCTCTGGCAACTATGACTATTTCCCCTACTGGGACAAGACCCCAGCCCCGGTTTTATCCCCTGCTGAAATTTCTGAACACCTGGTTGCAATCCTGGAACTATCGGGCGAGGTGTTGCGCCACTCCAAGATTCCGGGAGTGATGCTGTTTTTCCCAATAACCGTTGCAGGATCTCGATCCAGGAGGGTTGATCAAAGATCCGAAGTACTGAATCTGCTCGACTCGGTCTTCCGTCAAGGATTTGTGGTCGCAAACAGGATACGGGATGGTTTGCTGGAACGGTGGGCCGAGAGGCATCGGGGAGAGACAATGCATCTGGCCAGATGAGATAATTACTACTCCTCAATAACGCCGCGGAGTAGCTGAGCGGACAGGAAGCCATACTTTTCACACCCTATACTAGTTTGTGTTTCATATTACCTGACAAAAAATTACATAGCCTTAATAAGCGGGCACTACCGCCCAAAGTCGTGCGATTGCAAGTGAAAATAGTGCGTATGGTATAGGCAGAGGGAAACTATGAAACCCTCATAACAAAATGAAATCTCTCAAGAAGGAAGAATAAGCACAATCTATGTTCTTTTATTCTGCCTGATGCTTGGCAATTTTTGATTTATCACGCATGCTGCTCCCCAGCCAGTGCGTTGGGCTGTCTGTGGAGTCCAGAGAGGCGTTCAGAAACAAATATTTACTAACTACACATCCCACGGGAATTTCCGATGTCCATAATGACTATGTTTGGCGCCTCTAGGGCTAACTTATCGTATGGCCATTCTTGAATATATAATCTCACTCCTTCCCCTACATTTTCCCCCTAACAACTTGCATTATCTACTATCAATTCCTACCCACTCACGAAAAAGGGCTCTAGCTCTTCGTAGCTGGGGATATCTGGTCTGGTAACCGAAGTATTTTAAGGGGTGTTCCCAGGTCTAGACTTTGGACCCAAACTCGGTTTTGGAGAAGTCTAACGAGAACCACCTGGGGTCAGGCATCCGACCCACTTTCCTCCCATAGTAAGGCTTCCGCCCTAATTTGGAGTCTGGCGCACTCCAGGCAGCCCCGTGGGATAGAGTTGATAAAAAGGAGAAGCAGCTCGCGTATCTATATTGGGACTATGTAGAACTTCTTGTCAGTGAAAAACTTCTTGTCAGTGGTGTCGTAAGAAGACATTGATCAACATTTTGCTTTCAGGTAGATCGTCTTAGGAAATATCGTCCTTGCTTAGAGACTTCGGAACAAAAGCCTTGTTTTGAGATAGTTGCCTTCGAGAGCATTCTCTTAAGAGGAAATCCGTACCATGAGACCCTACCAGAGAGCAAAGGCCAGACAAGAGGCGGATCTTATCGTATCCCCAGCCCTTTGCCTGAGTGCCTGAGTTGGTGGTTTGTTTGGAAGGGAACGGATGTTCGAACTTGATTGGCAATGATTGGGAAAGTTTAATGCAAAGAGATAACTCACTACGATATGGAAAAAACATGATATATAAATAACCAGACAAAACAACTAATCAGATGAAAGCATTGAAGAAATGTAATCACCCATTCTTCGTGTAACACGTCGGTTGAACGACAGTGTAGTCGCACAACATTGACATAGCCACGTTGCATGTTGAACCAAACAGCAGCTATAAAATGTGGGTATTTCCCTGTGCCTGCGGAATTCACTGTGCAGGTACCGCAACATCCTTGGAAAGCTCATGATCCTCACAGAACTTCTTTGCATGCTGCATGAATGACAGCAGTCGCTGGCGCCGGTAGTAGATGTTAGTCAATTCGATGTGGGCACTTGCCTCAGCATCATTCTGTCCAGTAATGAGAATGAGCATGAAGAATGTCTCAATGATGCTGGGAGGCACGTTTGAAATCAACTGTCCGGTGAGACTCCATTTCATTGCGCTTGAAGCGACAAGGCATCCAATGGTGAGGAAGAAGCCAGCAATAACCATGGAGAGATGGGAGCTGACGGCATCCATCCGGCGGGACACGCGCTGGCTCAGTGACGGGCGCTTGGTGCTGCCAGCTGAAGGGATGGCCATGAACAGTCCAGCGAAGAGCCCCGTGTCTCCCTTCTCCACAATAATAATCTGACTGTTGATGTACTGGTGCACCTTGCCTTGGATGTTGCGGAGGACAAAACTGTCGAACAAACCAACCAGCCCTGCATACGTGCCGATGAGCAGCCACCAATTACTGTTAAAATGAAAGACAGGTCCGACGGCTGCCCAGGCGATCATCACCATAACGAGGAAGACGATGCCGACCAGAGTGCCGATGATGTCGGCGTAGTAAAAGATCACCACCTGCAGGAAATTCTCCTTAGGGGGCAAGATGACTTCCACCTGGTTCGGCAGGTCATCCTCGCTGAGGCGACGAAGCTCCTTCTCGAGAGTCGAATCGAGTCTGAAGATGGCATCTAGGCAGGTGTTGGTATAGTCGGCATAGCATTCCCGCAGGCAGGCCAGGAACGCAAAAACCAACACCATCAGCCCCGATGTCGCGTCGTTGATGTAGAGTTGCCACCGGTTCGACCAGTTGCAACGCGGACCGAAGCCCAGCCAGATGAAGATGCAGACCCAGTAGAGACCGGCGCTGATAATATGTCCGAATGTCTTGGCGAAGACGATGATGCACTGGGCAAAGAGACCCTGGGTGCGCAGTCCATGGTCCAGCGGTTCTAGAGGCTCATCGTGACACTTGTTGGCGACATGACATATCCCTTCCGCCCCCAGCTTCTTCTTGACACTGGCGATCATGCGATGATGACTGTTGCACCGGGACTGGATTTCGATCATGGCTTCACGCTGCTCGGAGTACTCGCGGAGCAGCTGGCGCATGAGGAACGAATCGAACACATAACATAGAATAGCCTGGACATCGGAGATAGCAGCAACCCAGACATCCGAGTTGCCAAAATATATGCCCATCAAGGCCCACGTTAACAGACCAGCGATGATAAACAGAAAGACTGGGGCCGACCCAGCCACCCGGACTGTCACATCGAGCCAGCGGTCCACCAGTCTCGGGCTCGCCTTTATCCTGTACCCAGAAACATCTTCAGTAGTCGTCACGATAACGGTATCAACATTTGCATCCTTCCCACTTGCCACCCGCTGCGTCTCCGCAGCCCCCTCAACCTCGCATCGAAAGATAGGTCTGAAATATTTCATTGTGGTCGACCAAACAACCGCTGTTGGATGTTGGATCCGATACTGTGCAATTGCTCAGGGTTCAGGCTCATTGACCCGCAGGGTAGTTAAGGTGGGCGAGTTGCGTTTGCAGGCTCGCGAGTGGATTGCAGCCCAGCTAACGCGCCTGGGATCGAGGAGACAATGGAGACAAGGGAGTTCATGGAGCGATGATCAGCCATTCAGAGTAAAAGACCAGACACCGTGTGTCGTGGAAGATTGTAGTTAGTGGGTGAGTAAAAAGGAGAAGAAGGGAATAGATGGTAGAGAGAAGGGAAAAAATTATGTTCGATAGGAAGACGCCATTAAATGCCGCATCTGGGCACAAGACCATACTGTAAGAGGAAGAAGACTCTGCTCAGGCACCGCAGCGGCATGATAGGCCGCGCCATTATTTTCTCAGCCACCATCGTCTTTGTCTTGATATTCTTCCTTGTGGGCCTTGTCCTGTTGAGAAGAAATGGTTTTGGCTGCTTAAAAGCCCTCCGAGGTCCTCGTGGGCGTCGACGGTCGCCAAAAGTCACCAATGACGGGCCTAGGCAGCTAAAGTTTGCTTAACAAGGCTTAGCGTGGTAAGGGTCGGGACCTCCGGGTGGTCCGAGCTGCCTGGATTAGCTTTCGACTTGCTGTTGCCTGAAAAAAATACTTAGATGCTATTGGCGTGGAGAAAATAGAGACAATAAATGACCAATGGATGAGTTCCCGTGGAAGCTTGTCTCTTGCTTGGTATTGCACCGGGCATCTCTCCTCTACCTCTCCCCCACTTCCACCCAACCCCATATGAGTGGCATCAACAGGAACACCACACCGGTTACTATAAAGAAAGCTGTCATCGCCTTTACAGCACCAAATTAATGGTTGATGACACTGGCTCCCTCCACGCCCAGGATACAGCGGCACTGGTTGCTGAGCGCCGTTGCGCTCGCTGGTCGGTCGAGGAAGCAGTCAATCCGCACCGCCGAGTTGATATTGAAGATAACAGTCGCCGTGAATGAAACTGGGGCTGTAGGATGAGTGGCGCCGCAAGATTTGGAACAAAATAGTGCCGCAAGTCGTTGAACTCGAAGCTTGGCCCGTATAGAGCCAGGGAAATCATGAGTACCATGCTGAATCGAGGCACTAAACGTAGACGAGCTTGCACATAGGGGAAGTCGCGAGTGTCGAAAACCTTCTGGTCAAGCTAAATGCCTCGTTCCGCCTTGTATTGCACTTCCAAACGCCTGAAGTTTTGGTCCAGGAGCCAACCCGTGCTTAGAGAGCCCAGATGCAGCCAGTGCCATTTGGAAGGAACACAGGCCAATTTCCCACTGTGTTAGAAATGGACGGCCGTATAACAGCATCGTTGTGGTGGAGGAGGTCACCATGGTCCATGTCATCGAGGCCAATTGCACCCTAGGCTAGGAGTGCTACGATATCCTTCTCAAAGATGTAGGCTAAGGGACTGAATGCCTTTTTCAAGGATATCGTTTTGCGAAGTTTCGGGGAATGGTTTTTTTTTTTCACGGTCTTCGGTCCATACCATTGGGGCTCTGGGCGGATAGACAAAGGGTTTGTGGAAACCCGAGAGGGGGATGCTCCCGTTGCCAGCTATGCTGCGCTGTGTCTCCGGCAGAAAGATGATGAGGGCAGCAAGGACGATCATGCCCAAGATAGACAGAAACCCAGAATATGCTTCTATAACCCCATACAGTGTTTAGAGCACCTCCAATGATTGGTCCGATCGCTTCGCCCGTCATGCTATTTGGGGATCATGATACGATACTTCTTGAAAAGCATAAGGGATATTCGATTTTATTACCGCACAGTAGCGTTCGTCCTCATGGAGCCACCACATTCTTGTCTGGCTCGTGGTTACTGGGTAATGCCCTTTTGTAGCAAATTCTTCAAATTGCCAGCTTAGCCTCATGCCGCTCAGGATTTATCTTAGTGGCTTGGCTCTGTTCCAAGATAAAGTAAAGCTGACTCTGTGCCTATAGACCAGGCCCAGACATTTCAAACATTGACTGGTCAGTGCGTATATCGGAGTAGAGCCACTTGTAGTACTTCCTTTGACCTACAAATTGAGTCTCCTGGCGACCAGGATTGCGAGCTAGTTTTATGATCTACGGGTTTATAATATCAAACGTTCGGGGTCGTGGGGGGCCAAATACGCGACTAGGTTACCGAACCCGGTAGCCTTGTCATTCTTATCATTATCCTAATGTTCAACTCAACAAGATTCTACTAGAGCGGACACAATGCCTGAGACATTGCAGAGCAGCGCATTCCACAAAAATTGACATCGATGGCTCGTAGTGCTGGAGGATTGGAAGAGGCGGGGAAATACTTATGGAAGGTAAAAAAAGCCCTGAACAGGAAACTCCGAGGTTGCAGATCATCAACATACTGCCTCGGTTCCGCATTGCCAAGTACTACTAGTCCGACGCACAAGCAATCCCTCAATTGCTGTTAAGCCCATGCAACATATTCAAGCCCTGGAGTTCTGGTGTATTACGTACTCGCGGAGATTAGAGATATAAAGCCGCACCTTCATGGAGGTTTACACCCTGGAGCCCTGGAAGAACATTTGATAAGCTATATGGCTCCATTCATGGTACTAGTATTGCAAGGCTGAACTTGATCTCCGGCCACCCTGCGAAAGGAAAGAGTGCAAATTGGTGTAGCCCGTTTTGAGCTACTCTGTAGTTGATCTGAAAAACTGTATTGGACTTCCTCTTATATGCCAAAGAGACAAACAAAATTTAGCCTGAAGAGCACTTAAGGGATTGTGCTGTGCACATGAGAATGAAGGTTAACTTCAGGTTCTATGCCATTCCACTGGATCCTTGTACGCGATGTGGAAGTTTACGTAAAATGGCACAATTACATATAGGGTGACATCGCATATAAGGCGACCCAATATAGGGTATCATCGCATATAAGACATCCCAATATAGGGCAGCGTCCTCAATACTTGATCTGCGCCAAGACCTGGGCAATCATGCATGTCAGCTCGGCATAGGCAGCTAAAAGCCTCAAGTGCTAGTGCCTCCTTGGCGCACTACTTACCTATTCTGGTCTATTGAGAATCTCAAATTCCCTACATCTTCAAGTCCAAAGAGACGCTGGGCCGTAAGCTGCATATGCTGCGGTGTAACCCGCCAAGGCCTTGGCGGTGGCTCTAGAAATTGTCGTGTAGTGTACCGAGCGGCGGGAACTAACCCCGGGGCCGAGGCCGACCCGTCGGCCCCTCCTGCGGGTGGCCCTGCAGGAGGGCCAGCGCACCCACCCGACCACACCCAAAACCACCACCAGCTTCTCAGTGGAAGAAGTCAATTCGATAGATAGACGTACAAACTAGTACTGTCGCCGTCCAGTTGTATTGGAACGATAGTGTTAATTTACTAGGTCCCCAACTCGACATGTCACATGCATTATCTTCTAACTTACCTCGTTGATGATTTTCATAACTGATCACATGATTGATGTTCAAAGTATGCCTGATCCTTTGCTCTTCAAAGCGAGGCTGTTCCTTTGATTATTTATCAGACAGATCAAATGAACATAAATATGGCCTCAAACCCCTCATTCAACGAATCTTTTGCTTGCTATGATATCACGACTACTGAGATTTAACCTTACTATTCCTGGACGATAAAGTATGTACCAAACCCCCAGCGTATTCAGGAGGTGCCTAGGAAGGATTATTATTGTATCAATTCTAATGCTTGGTATGAGTGATTCTCACCTAACTGACAGGTGTCCTCCCTGTACGAGCAGAATCGTTATATATAGGTCCTTGCAAGCACAAGCGGCCGTATATTTGTGTGATTACACAAGAGCGCTCAGTTTAATTCGTTACTTTCATCATGCTATGCACCTCATGTGGCTTTCCAACATCGACACAAGATTCCGGCTCCCCTGGAGCAAAGGCGGCGGTGGCGGATCGCCGTCGCGAGCAGAATCGTCGGGCACAGCAGCGATTCAGACGTTAGTCAAATGATCCACCATAAAGCATTGATAATGCTGACTTTCCGTTCGCTTGTGAGCAGAAAAACACCGTGAACGAAAAGCCGCCCCAGAGCAAGATCAATCGCATCCGCAAAACCGCGCGTCAAATGCCCTAGACGACATCAGTCCAATAGCGTCCAGCGCATTGACACCAGTCACACCACCCAGTACAATGTGTGCGAGTCGCGGGAAATCCTCGATAGGCCGTTACGAGGAAAGTCGAGGGGATAACGTGATTGATTATGATTTCTTTTTGGATCCCAACGATCGCTGCGAGATGAACCAAGGCGCGCACGACTTTTGGACATCGACCTTGAAAGAGACGTCTCCCTTTGCTGCTACTGCCCTTGTACTCCCTTCGGAGCTGAAAGACTGCCGAGGACATCATACAACAAAGAACCGGGGTGATTCTGTCGATAACAACGAAAGTGGCAGAGTGCCAACAGAACCGACCGTGCTTCATCGAGCAGTGCAGACTGGAAATAGCAAAGTTGTACGCCTTTTACTCGAGCATAACGCAGAGTGCAACTCAAAGGACAACGCTGGTCTGACACCTCTGATGTGTGCGGTAATCGGGGGCCATGAAGAAGTATTAGAAATATTGCTATCACATGGGGCCAATATAGGACATGTTGATAATGCTCATTGGTCGGCCCTTCACTGGGCTGTGTTCCATAATCGTCACAGGATACTGGAACGGCTTTTGAGCTGTTGCGGTGGGGATGCTTCGTTGCTCAACATACGAAACAAGGACAGAGAAACACCGCTATCAGTCGCGGTTGGCGCGGGAAGTGAGGTGGCTGTGAAGCTTCTACTAGAATTTGGGGCCACGGTCAACGTAGAGTGAGTATATTTGTATCTCCACACATAGAAAATTATAACCGTCATCAAAAATATATACATATATTCTTTTGACGACAAGGCTAAAATCGTTTCATTCGTTCTTTAGTCCGTGTTGTGACTAAGGGAATGGACGACGCGAAGTGGCGATTTGAAGCAGACTTATAGGCCTCGCACCTTGACCATGACCTGAAGGCCACTCTGCTTATTGAAAAAGTAGTCATGGGTCGTCCAGCTCTTACTCGAGTCCACTAAAACAAAATCGAATTTTCGAACCAATAGTGGTACCATTTTGTATAACTCGCTAAGAGCAATCTGTGAGGACGTTAGCACTCATACTCTGCCTCGTGATGTAGAAGCCTAGTCTCTGAATAAACTCACATGCTTGCCAATGCAGGTTCTCGTGCCCGCCCCAAACACCAGGTTGTTGCATCTGTCCATGTTGGAATCAGTGCGTTCGAGCCATCTTTCTGGACGGAACGTATTGGCATCCAGGCCGTATACGCCTTCGTCTCGTCCTACGACGGCCGCGTTCATACCGACTTTCCATCCGTGTGGGATATACATTCCTGATAGCTCAATCCCAGTCTGATCGACGACTCGAGGCATAGTGAACCCCACACCAGGATGCAACCGCAATGCCTCTTTGATAGTTGCCTTGAGAAGTGGGAGCTGGACGACTTCGGAATAACTGGGGATATCGGAGAGTTCCCCACTGTCCACGGCTTGGTCAATTTCCTTTCGAAGCTCTTCATATACAAAACGATCCTTTGCAAGGTAATAGAAGACAGCTTGCAGCTCAATCATAGTTGCGTCCGCGCCTGCTGTCCTATCAAATCGAGCGTATCAGCAGATTGTATGTGCGTGCGTAATTTATGCAGTGATCACTTACAGAGCCGCAAAGGCCTCGTTCTTGACATCTTCGATTCCGAAGTCCAATTTGTCCCCTTTGGAATAGACAATGGTGAGCAGGTTATGCAAAAGATCCCTTCTCTCTTGTTTTCCAGGAGGTGAAACAGCGGAGACTCTGTTGTCTACGCTCGTGCGTGCCGTTTCAATTATGTGATTCATTCCTTTGAGCCCTTTGCGTGCGGTAGAGCTGAGCGTGAATAAGCCCATAATCAGTCCCCGGACCAGAGGCGAAGAAGCTGCCGCCGTTGTTAGCACAGGAAGCATTAACTCCAGAGATGCGAGAAAGGCCCCTTGGTCGCCACGATTCTCGATGAAGCCGAGAGAGCGGCCAAAAAAGAGCTCTCCAATAACGTCGTAGGCATACCTAGCAAATGCACTTCATTAATATGTTGCCGCTATAGATTAGAAAGAGAATGAGTCTCACCATAGAAACCAATCCCCGAGATCAATCGCTTGATCGGGAACGGTACGCTCAGTCATACGCTCAACAAACAAGCGACTGCAGTCGTCAATGTAGGACTCCAAGGTCAAGACAGTAGACATACTGTACACGCTGTTCACGATGCGTCGTCGTTCAAAGTGCAGCTTTTCGTCGACGATTGCGAACGCGTTGGGATATTTTGAGAAGGCTCCCGCATCCCAAATATGATAGAAATCAGACTTATTCAGTGGTGAGGTTGTGCTGTATATCTTGCGAATCGCTTCGGGGTCGGCACAAGCAACCTCATCTGGCGCAATGCGGACAAGTGGTCCGTATCTCCTATGCAATTCCCGTTGCACCACGTCCAAGTCTCCTCTTGCGACAGCATATGTGAGCCATAGTCGGGTGACTGACGGCCAGAAGGGCCCAGGAACTTTGCTGAGGGGATGGAAACTCCGGCAGTAGATACACCAAGACACGAGATACCCAAAGGCGGCAACCAAACCAGCACCGAGAATAAAACCAAAACTCATCCTCGTTCTTGTATGATTTTGGTCCTTAGGGATTTGGGTTACAGTATTTCAAACTCTGCTAGGTTCAGCTTCACTATGGCCAATTCACGGGAATGCGAGACAGGTTTAGGTAGTATTCATGAGTGAGTGTTTGTGGCCATAATCTGGAGCGTAATCTGCACCATCACCAGTACTTTGCTTAGTCCTGGGTAGTAAGCCATAATTGTAATCACAAATTCTGCGAATTTTGGTGAAAACTGAGCTCTGTATCTACCAGATTATGCCAGATTACGCCTAGCCTCGAGACGGGGTGTGCTTATAAATCATAATCCATGCAGATCACGGCAACAAACACTCCCTAAACAAACAGCTTATGATCACCGAGACATAATAATAGAACAAAGACAGATCATGCCACTGCGCCAATAGTCGATTGATTGATTAGCACTGCTTACACGCCAAGGGACTGGGGAAAGGGGGTAGGTTTCTGCAGGCTAAGCTTACAGTGGAAATCATGTCAGCGTGATGACAGCCCCCTTGCCTTGTTCTTTCGGTTCGTTAACAAGTGAGCTGCATGGTTTTCCACAGTCTACCTGGTAGAAAGAAGTCCATCCGGGTAGAAAACAGATATGACTAGCCCATTTAGCCATCATCGTGACTATACGCTGTGTGTTATCTGTTGATCGGTATCCACTCAGTAGTGCTCGGTACTGGTTTACACTCGAGTTGCATGTCACGACATGGCAAAAACAGCTTTCATCACAGGTGCCAATGGCATCAGCGGTAGCGCTATTGTTGAGCATCTCTGCAACACAACCACCTCTGACGATTGGGTCTCCATTATCGTCACGTCGAGGAGTCCGTTCAACCCTACCGTCACGGATCCTCGCGTCAAATTCATCGCTATCGACTTCACAGATGATGTTCCTTGCCTAGTAGAAAAGATGCAGGAGGTCTGTGGCCCCGTCAGCCATGCTTATTTCTGTTCCTACCTTCACAAGGACGATTTTGCCGAGTCGTACACCGCCAACAAAACCCTGTTCGAAAACTTCCTAAGTGCCATCGACAAGACAGCCCCCAAATTGGAGAACGTTACGCTGCAGACTGGCGGAAAGTACTACAACCTCCATGTTGAACCCGTGCCGTCCCCGGCGCGGGAAGACGACCCCCGCCGCTATGGTCCATTCGAAAACTTCTATTTTCCCCAAGAAGACAGACTGGCCGAGATGCAGCATGGCAAGGCTTGGACGTGGAATGTCATCCGGCCTGAGGCCATCATCGGTGCAAACTCGCAGCCCTATGGCCTGAACGAGGCCCTGACCATTGCCATGTACTTCTTGATTTGCCGTGAGCTGGGTACTGCCGCCCCAATGCCGACAAACCAGCGATACTGGGAGGGCACTGAGGACGTGTCGTACGCACCTTTGATCGCCGACCTGACTATATTCGTTTCTACCAGGAAGTCGTGCGCCAACGAGGCCTTCAACGTCACCAATGGAGATTATTTTTCCTGGCGCTATATGTGGCCGCGTCTCGCCGCAAATCTCGGCGCCAAAGCCGACTGGCAACAACATTTCAAAAAAGCCGTGCCCAGAGAAGGTGAGTTGCAGCTCGACTGGAGCCTGGCCGAGTGGTATCAGGACAAGCGTAAGGTGTGGGAGGACTTGTGCGATCGTCAGGATTTGCCGGGCGCCAAAGCGACATTTGACCTTGCCGGCTGGGCGGTTGGAGATTTTCTCTATCAGCGGACGTGGAGTGCTACATTGAGCGTGAACAAAGCGCGCCAGTTCGGATGGACAGGTCACATTGATTCCTACCAATCGTTTGTCGATACGTTCGACAAATTTAGACGGCTCGGGTTGATACCAAAGTAATGCATGAAATGCCGTTTGTCAGCTCATAGAAAACTCATTCTCTTCATATATCTGCAAATGCTAGTATTTTGCCCTACCCATCTCACCCATCAGACTTTATAAACTTTTAATCAGGTACGGCAGACTTGACCAATTCTCTCTCATGATAGTGTTAGGAGAGTTGACATCAAAAATATTCACCTCCAGCCCCACCCGCCCTTGCTAACTCCTTTAATTATACACATCGCGGTACAAAAGCAGGAAGGTGGCTGGAAACTTGAACGAACAACGAACGCATCCAATGAAGCAAATAGTGGAATCACTCTGTGGCCACATTCCGTTTCTACAGGTCTGTGATCAGAAGCCAGTGAAACTACGTCTCTCTACTCCCTCTTCAACCTGGCCTCCATAATCGACCAGTCTCTCGGCGTACTCCTTGTCTCTAATACCTCCAACCCGGCCTTCTCCACTAACTCCTTCTGCTCGGCTTCAGACCTCTGCGCACCTCCACACGATGCCAACATACTTAAATCGAACCTCGTGATATTCTTAGTCGGACTAAGCTCAGTTGATAGGGCCTCATGAATCAACAATCTCGATTCGGGACCCATGGCTGCGGCAATTCGTGAGAGGTACTGGGCGGACACGTGGTCGGCATGGTTGTGCAGGACACCACGAAGGTAGTAGACGCGGGCACCTTTGACGGGTTGTGGGTCCTCCATGTCGTGGTCCATGATTTCGACCTCGGGCAGCGAGGCGGTCGTGATCTTGCTAGTGACTTGGGGAAGGTCTTGCAGAATGATGCGACCCCGAGAACGTGGGAAGACGCCGCGGATGCGCATGGCTTGGTGGCCGAGCCCGCCACCGCTGGGTAAGACAAGGTCAGCTTTACTTTTCCTTTTCTTTCTTTCGTCCGAGGAGGAGGCCTTACATGTCGACGAAGAGGATGTCTTCGGCATTGGAGTTGGTGAAGATAGTCTCAAACGGGTAGAAGCTAACGAAATCTTCCTCCTGGGTAGTACGAGGGACTGCCATGTAATCGTTGAAGTATTTGCTTAGCCTTGGGTCCTCTGACATACTCTCCCAGAATGTTTTGGTGGTATTGGACCCGACCTGCCAGGCACAGTTATTTGCATCCGGTAGCACCTTGTAATCATTGGCACGAAGCCAGGCCGAGAGAGCGAAATACGAGGGCATTAAAGCAACTCTGAGTTCATCACGATCAGCAGCCGTATTGTAACTAGCAGAACGTGAGATACTGACTGCGTCATGACGTTTCCTTTTCGGTAGGGCTTTACATAGTCCCTAGTGATTGCGTTCGCTGCATATAGACCCAACGAGACTTGATCGACCATATAATGTGCATCCAACAGCCGCATGATTCGAGCAACCAAGGCTGGATCGGCGTTGAGTTCTCTAGCAATATCGACAGTGCTGAGGGACACAGAGTGCTTGGAGAGAACGTCAAATATACCCATCTCACAAGCCACTCCGACGCCAAACAGCTCGAGCGGCGCCCATGTCTGCGCTTCAGCAAAAGTCATAGGGGTATGGAGCTGATGTACAGCCTTCTCAGCAAGACGCAATGCTCGAATGCGAACATTCTCATCGTCTGATCCAGAAGGAAACAAGGTGGAAACTCGACTACAGAGAGCATCTAATTCCTGAACCCATTCCTCAGCGGTAGACATGGTGATGTGATGGATGAGTTATGACGCTGGCTAGCCAAAAGGCGAAGGGAGCCTCCACATCTTATATGCTCCATGCACAGAACGCCGAACACTCCAAGGAGATATACATGTCCATGAAAGTATTACATTTACATTCACAGATGGCCGGCATGCTGACATGCATCATAAACATGACACCACGTGACCATGACAGGTTGCGGCAGATGGCTTACATAGCTGACTACATCCTTGACGTTGTATGTGATGCTAATGGATTAACAAGGATAACACGGATCGAGAAGGTTAAAGTGCGTTGGCAAACAGCACAAATACATAAAGTCTAATGAGTCCATGTTGTAATCCACACTATTGGAAACCCATCTACTCCCCACTTTGAGAATACTTCCTTGCCATTCTCACTTCGACTACTCTCATTATATTGCTTATCATGATGCTTGATCAGCTCAGTCGTATTCAGGTCCTTGCGGCAGAAATTACCGACTTGAGCAAAACCTTCGAGGGTTCTTCCGAACGGTTCATGGTCGACAGCCTGCCATGTTTGAAGAAATCCGAGGAACTTGTCGCCCTTGTGCAGTCCCCTGCAGAGCACGCCACCTCGCTAATTGTCAAAACCATGGAAACGGCTGTTATCAGGACGCTGTTGTCGTTGAATGTCCTTCAGACCATTCCGACTTCAGGTTCCATTTCCCTCCAAGTCCTTGCGGTGGCCACCGAGACCCAAGCATCCCTTCTCGAGCGTCTCCTGAGAGTAGTGACAAGAACAGGTTTTCTTATACGCGAGGATGGTGCATACCGCCACACGCACACGTCCTTGGCGTACGCTGGCCCGCTTGGGGCGCTTTTCGCGCCCTGTTATGACGAAGGGATTCGGGCCTTGATCAGGCTCCCCGAGTATCTGTCCGTGAAGGGTAAGGAGGAGGCGAAAAGTGCTAGGCACAGTCCTTTTACGTGGAATGAAGGCCAAGAGGGCAAGACTACATTTGAGATTCTTTCCACGATGCCGACAAGAACAGAAGGCATACACAATTTGGCAATGAACGTCCAGCATTTGCGGCCATACACAGGCTTCTTTGACTATGCTAAACTAGTCTCTGAAGATCCTGAAAGACCCGTTTTTGTTGACGTGGGTGGGGGCAATGGACACGTTATCAAGGAGGTCCTGCAAGCATTCCCTGAGATACGGCCTGAACAGTGCGTCTTGGAAGATCGTGCAGAGACCCTTGAGCTAGCCAGGACGACGGGCTTGCTTCCTGCTGGAGTGCAGCTTCTTGAGCACGACTACCTTACTCGTCAGCCAATCTCGAATGCGAAGGCATACCACCTACGCGCAGTAGCTTATAATTTGGGCGACGCCGAACTCGTCCAACTATTGAAGCAGATAGTGCCAGTGATGGGCCAAGATTCAAAAGTTTTGATCGCCGAGAATATCATGTCTGATGACAACGGCACTGCCTTCAGTACAGTGTCAGACATGATCATGTTGTGCATCGGCGGCAAAGAAAGAACGGAGCGAAATTTTCGTGAAGTCCTCGATGAGGCCGGCCTCACAATCGATAGCATTCATCGTGCACCTGGATTGGAGTATGGAATTGTGGAGGCAAGCTTGAAGATGTCATGAGCTCGCAGGAGCAAAAGGCAAGGAGCAAGTTGAATGATGTTCTGCTCTTACCCTCCCATGATATGTGGCGGAGTGCGAAAATGCTTTGGGAATCATTAACCTCCGCTTGGTCCTCGGGTTTTATCTAACACATCTAGGAAACGAAGTGGAAGAAGACGCTGATGGCAAGCCAGCACGACGGGCATGTCGAGATCAAGGTCGCCGTAGGCCTCTTCCTAGGCTGCTGCGTATTTACGGCGTTGAAGCTTAAGAAGGGAACGAACTAGATAAAAGGTAGAAATGCGACTAGTTTGAAGCAGATGAGCTTCTTGAGCGATTTGTTGTTCGCGAGCATCGAGGATACTTGATATAGGTTTTGATAATAGTGGAGCTCCTACCTGAGATAGTCTCCACTTGCCAAGACTCTTTTTGCTTCTACCACCACCTCGAATATCATTATTACTCTGTGTTTTGATTCCTCTTTATCATTCGTATAATAGGTGTTACTTGAAATTTCTGCACATGGTCTGATATCCTATTTACTAGTCCTCTAGAGCTCTCTTTGCCTACGCTGCATTCCTACCGCTCGCACACGTATGTGTCCCAGTACGTAGCACAAATTCAGTCGTAAAATGTTGCGTCAACGACCGATTTTGTCACACTTTTGGAAATAGCCGTGTTGAGACCCGGAGCTCATTATCTTACATGCCCCAGCCATGGGTTGCTTGCACCGTAATACTCATGCGTTGCTTACGCCCTAGTAATCATGCGTTGCTTATATGCATTCGCAAGCCATCACGAATTGAGTTGGCTCGATTTGCTCACTCCGTCCATGACATCATGTATCGCTCCCATTGGAGACGTCTCATATAAACCACGTCCAGACCTTCTCCGCAGCATGATCTGAATAGCATTTGTCTGGCTTCAAGTGCCACAGTAACAATATGGTGTCTAATACAAGTAGATCTTCCCACTTGGTGAAGATAATCAGTGACAGCACTACCAAAATCGAGGTATATCGTCAGGAACAAGGTTTACCACCCCTAAGTTTAGGGCCTGATGCACCGCTTGATGTGAAATACCCACCCAATGTGGAACAATGTCGACGGGCCGTTATCGATGCGAGCCTAGAGTTGGGCGACCTGGCAACGGGTCCCGTCGAACTTCGTCTCGTACCTGGATGGGCAGTCATGACCATGTTCGGCGTGACCCAATTCATCTGCGACTTTGATATTGCCCACCGGGTTCCTATGACAGGCGACGTGTCGTACGAAGAGCTCTCCAAGACTGTCAAGGTCGGTGCGTCCGTTCTTCGTCAGGTCCTGCGGGCTGGCATGCCCTACCACATGTTCTACGAGCCACGGCCGGGTCACGTCGCGCACACGGCGACCACCAAGGTCATGGCGCGGGAGCCACTGATCAAAGACTGGACTGGCCTGTCCACGGACGTCTTGCTTCCTGCTAGTGCTGGGCTGACCGAAGCCTTGAGGAAAGAACCCGCGGCCAACGACCCCGCCAAAACGGGCTTCATGCTCGCCAAAGGAGACGGCGAGTCCGGCATGTTCAAGTACATTGAGAAGCACCCGGAGCAAGCTCGAAGATTTGCAGGCGTCATGGGGGCATTCCAGCAAGATGAGGCGTACGCGCCACAACATCTTATCGACAGCTGGCCGGATGATTTGCAGAACGGTAAACTCGTCGACCTAGGCGGATCCACGGGCGCCGTGGCTTTTGCGATGGCCGAAGAGTACCCAGGGCTCGAGATAGTGGTCCAGGACTTGCCCGGGGCACTTGAAGCTGCACAAGTTCGAGAGGGCAGGAATGTGTCGTTCATGCCTCATGACTTTTTCAACGAGCAGCCTGTCAAGGATGCTGACGTGTACGTGAAGACCAATATACCAGATGTCTGAATTTGTGCTAACTGTTGACCTTGTTGATCCCAGATTTATGTTTCGCTGGGTTTTGCACAACTGGCCCGATGTCCATGTCCAACGCATCCTGAGAGCTTTGATCCCGTCGCTGAAGCCTGGTGCCAAGATCATCATCTTTGACGAGATCATGCCTCCGGCTGGCACGATGACTTTGAGCGTGGAGCGATATCAACGGTAAGCCACACGATTCATTGCACCCGTTTCTTTTGACAATGCTGATTGTGAGTGTTTCAGAAACATTGATTTCGGCATGTTGACCCTTTTTAACTCTAAGGTACGTATACCCAGAGGGACCGACACATTTTTCTCCATTCTCACCTGGGAATCTTAATTGCAGATTCGTGACGTCGATGAATGGAAAGAAGTCATTACTCAGTCAGACCAGCGCTTCAGGGTCGCAGATGTTAGGTACCCTGAGAGTTCTCGACTGTCCCTCATTGAAATCGTATGGCAGCCATAAAATTGGGGTATGCGTCGCGTCCCATCGCTGGAAGCGCCTCACATACGTCACTAGAGAAAGGAAAATTCACACTCCTTATTTCCATCTGGAACGAGACAGCCTATACCCGAGCTTATACGGATCAATGCTAAAGACCCCAATTTGGGTAGTTCCTGCCAATTTTATATCTGATTCTGCCTGGCCTAAGACGGAGAGAGAAATCAAATACTTGAATCCTAATAACCTCAAAAAGCCCGCCAAAATGTAGAAAAACTAGCTGTTATAAACTATAACTACTTAGGCATATTTTGAAGCCATTCCTAACATAATAATCCCTAAATCATGCGTAAGGTAGTGAGACGTGGTGAGGGGTGGTAAGATTTTCCCTATGTAAGATGAACTGCTCTAGCCATAGAGACTTATCGGAATTGTACGTGACAGGTGAAGATAGGAGAAGAAGTTGCGAGGAACGAGGCAGTTAGGAATTCTGAAATGCAATTTGTTTTTCACACTGATCCCTACAGTCCTCAGCACAGTGTATATGAATTGCTCTTATTGTACCTTGATTACTACCAGCTACAGATGTGCTTTTTGTCGCGATTTGTCCTGTATCCGGCTAATTGGAGATGTACATGACTCTGTATTTCCATTACCCCTATTTCTCGCTATTTATAGGTCCATTTTAGTTATGTAAGCTATTCTGTCGGATCATCTATAGACCCGGTTTCATGCAGTATTCATACGATATTTGTGACATTTTTCGAAAGCACGATCGAGCCCTTGTAACCGATACCTCCAAAGGTTAATAACACACGGGAAGAAAACAAGCGGAAAAGCACGATCGAGCCCTTGTAACCGATACCTCCAAAGGTTAATAACACACGGGAAGAAAACAAGCGGACAATCTGTTTAGGAGACCAAGTTCTTCAAATCCGCAATTGTTTTCACTTCGAGGTAGAACGCATCACGAATCTCAATGCCAAGATTCTCTCGCAACTTCTGTGAGATAACGAGCGACATGAGCGAGTCAAGCCCAATATCCGCAATTTCACACTCATCGGTCAGTAAGCCTATATCAACAGCGAGTTCTTCTGCCAATATGTTTATAGCACGTGATGCAGCACCATCAGCTTCATCGTCGCCGCTGTCGCTGTCGGTCTTTTCTATACGTCCAGTCGGAGGTGGCGAACCTCTTGGAGTTAGAAGATTGTAATCGAGCTGAGGCATCATCTTTGGACTACCACCAGACTTACTGATCGGTCCAGAATGTGGAGGAGTTATGGCGGATGCAGGACGTCTAACAGTCACTTTCGCGGCCACCGCCGTCGCCATGGCCTTTTCCTGTAAAGAAGTGGCAGATGGCAGTGGACTTGGAGCTGCAGCTCTCTTCTTTTCGGTAGGAGGAGAAGGAGGAGCCGCCCCTGCTGGGCGGAAGAACCGATTCAGCATCACTCTCGGCCACTGCCGGAACAAGATGGCTTCGACCACGCCCACAATTTCGCCATCCTGTAGAATGTAGACATCACCGACGTAAGAGCCAAGCTTGCTGTTGTCGTCAACAGTCTCTGGTATCATCCTCACGTATGCGAGATATCGACCACCAGGGGCCAACGGCTTGGCAAAACGCATGGACTTCCATGACGGCGTGATGAAGAAGTTGTTGGTGTTGTCAAAGTGGGTGCCACCATTCAGAATAAAGCCGGACAGAGATACGAGACCATCGATGAAATGCGGTGGCACAGCCCAGTCTCCTTGGGTGTCTGCGGGGAGAACGACTTCGGCTACGGCTTCGTCTTCTTTGAGTATGACCGATTGCATGTTGCGATACATGCTAGAGTAATCCACTAGCTTCCCAAAGAGGGTGTATGCAAGGTCGGTGGTGAGTTTGTTGGCCGTACCCTTAATTGACATATCATTGAGTGCGTCAATCCGACTGGTAACCAGCCTAGTCGTTCGAGCCCAATTGGAAAGCCAGGTCAGAGAGTCTTCATAGTAAGCTGTAGCATGGCAGTACCATTTGTCATTGGCAGGGTTGAACCACTTAATGTGGACTTCACCCTTGTCGAGGTTGGCTTCAGCATTGACAAGAATGGGATGTGGAACAAGGGAGTTCGCATCTTTCACTACCGGATCGTGATACTCGAAGTTGGCCACATTGATGCCCATTCCACTGAAGGTCGACGAGAAAGCTTTTCCTTTGATCCTTTGGGCCAGTGTAAATGCCATGTCGGCATGAAGGAACTATCACAGGTTAGAATATTTGAACAAAGGAGTTTGTTATCAACTTACGGACGAAGCAACACCATAACCATTCATTCCATGCCCTTCGATCACATCCTTGAGCGACGGATCGGTCATATTGCATTCGCCCAAGACTTGTGCTGTCAATAAGTCGTAATTTTCGGAATAGAGTCGTTGGATGCTTGATGTTCGAAATCTGCTAGCAACGGGAAGTGCCGGCTCCGGTAAAATCTGGCCCTTGGACAAATTCCAATCCCCTCGGTACTGGATCCAATAGTTCTTGTTGTTCCAAGCATAGGTCGGCACGGAGGCAAGTCGAAGTGCGTGCTCAAATGGACGATGGTATTCATTCCAGTCGATGTTGACACCAACCTCGTATAGACTGCTCAGCATCTTCACCAAAGACGTCCAATTGTCGGTGTCTCGCTGTAGGGTTGAACATGCTAGACGAGCGTCGGCGAGTGTACGGCTGATGAAACCGCTGCATACGGGATGATGACCCAGCTCAAGCCAGACGGTGGATTTCGAGACCACGCCAGCTTCTGACGCTGCATTGAGAGCTCCAGCGAAGTCGACCGTCTTTCTTAGGGACGTGGTCAAATACGACGAATCAATGTTAGCGCCTGTCTCGATGACAGTTGAGTCTCGTGGGGACATAATGGGAATTCTGGGTGTGTTGTAAACAATCCCTTGGGTTTGGCGACTGAGATTATGGACGACATTGTCCATCTGAGCCGTATGATACGCATGTGGTACATCCAGACGCGTCGTCCTGTACCCTGCTTTGGACAGACGAGCCGAAAAAGCCTCCAGATGCTCGACAGTACCGCCAATTACAGTCTCATTAGGGCCGTTGATACAAGCTACTTCGACTGGCGAGCCATCCGCTTCATGTAAAATATTGGCCACTGAGGTCCGAACGGAGACCATGCCATGGGTGCCAGGTGAGCAGTTCGACTCTAGAATGGTTGCTCGTGTCCCGACGAGGAAGACTGTGTCACTGTCGGACAGCACACCAGCCACGGCCAGTGCGGCATATTCGCCCAGGCTGTGTCCAATGACGGCACATGGCTTAATACCAAACGCCATGCATAGTCGAGCGAGCGCAACTTCAACACATACGATAGCGAGATGTATGGAGGAGGTTGGTAGGTCTTCGCGAGAACACGTTCTATCGATGGCAGGTAGGAAGGATGGAAAGTTCTGGCGACGTACAAGACTGTCAAACTGATCGAGCTGCGAGCGGAAGAAGGGAGAGTCCCGGTAAATCTGCGCTGCAATTCCCACATAGAAAGTGCCTTGGCCAGCAAAAGCAAAAGCGACGGGGGGTCGTTTCACTAAGGTCGGAGTCTGAGCGATAGCAGTTTCGACGTGCGGTTGAAGCTGTTTGACAGCCTCGGCCAAGGATCTTACTACAACGGATTTTCTGTATTCGTAGTGACGTCTCCTGGCCGAGAGTGTGTATGCAATATCGGCAAGAGATAAGTCTTGCGAAATTTCAATATACTCGACAAGCCGCTTGATATTCAAGCTGAGAGATTGAGCCGTCTTTGCTGAAATCGTAATGGCATGAGCTTCTCGTGTGTCCTGGCATAACCGTGGCCTTGGGCTGGCCTCTTCGATAATCATGGCCGTGTTACCTCCAGCGGCGCCAAAGTTATTGACCATGGCCAGCCTCTTCTGCGCAGCAGCCGGGCCCCAATTGACGGCTTTAAATGGAATCACGACGCCCATCTTGCCCAAGTCTGGTAGTGCAGGATTCAAAGCTGTCTTCACGCCGATATGAGGCGGAATGATGCCATTCTGGAAGACTAACATGGTCTTGACGAAAGCCATGATTCCCGCAGCAGCCTCCCCATGGCCCATATTGGCTTTGACTGAGCCCACATGCAGTGGCATCGGCCTATGTCCATGAAGACGTGGAGGCGCGAACACACTGGTCACAGATCTCATCTCGGTAGGATCACCGGCTTGTGTCCCGGTGCCATGCATCTCAACGTAACCAACCTCCAGGGGGTCAATCCCAGCTCGTCGGACAATCTGGTCGTACAACAGAGCTTGCGCCGCGTCGTGAGGATGCGTGATCGAAACGGCCTCCGCCGAATGAGAAGTAGCCGCCGATAGGACTACCGCGAGTATATTATCGTTGTCGACTTCTGCATCCTCGAGCCGCTTCAGAACCACGCTTCCGACTCCATCTGTTCAGCAATGTCGGTCAGTGGACATCTTGAAGATCACGTAGTGCTAAAGGTAAAAGGGCGACGACATACCGGATCTGCAGTATCCGTCCGCTCCCTCATCCCATGTCTTACAGCCGCCAGTAGGGGAGAGAAAGTGGCCTTGGCTGAGCCCAGCATAGACATCAGAGTTAGTGAGGATATTCATCCCTCCCTAATGTGAGAATCACGATCTTATTAGCGCTTACAATTTGATGGGCGTTGGTGTGAATCCACAAACTCACAGTAATGGCCATGTCAACATCTCCACTCCACAGTGATGAGCACGCGGCTTGAATAGCTGCCAAACTCGAAGAGCAAGCCGTGTCGACACTAAAGCTAGGGCCCCAGAAATTGAGAAAGTAGTTGATACGTCCTGGACCAAATGCCCTGCATCCACCGGGAATAAAATAAGTGCCTACTTCCTGTCCAGAGTTGACTTCGCGATAGTCGTCACTGGCTTGGCCGTAAAAGGTGCCAACGCGCTTGCGATGGATGATGCCTCGACCATCGACATACCCGGCGTTCTCCAGAGCTTCGTATGCCGTCACCAAGGCCAGACGTTGCATTGGATCCGTTTGTTCAGCTTCTCTGGGTGACATGCCGAAGAACATAGCATCGAATAACCCCGGATTATCAACAAAGCAACCGTAAGAAGTCTTCGACGTGTTCTGTCGTTTTCCGGTGGGATCTACGTGTGTTTCGACGTCAAATCGATCGGGAGGAACATGGCGGTGCATGTCCTGCCCCTGCATCAACCGCTCCCAGAATCCTTCGGTGGTGTCTGCGCCTGGAAAACGACATGCCATGCCTACGACAGCAATCTTCGACGATCTTGTGTCCTTTGGCGGGCTTTTTCCGAGAACAAGATCCAACACAGCTGGCACCATAGGGAGGTCTGACACGGCCGCGTTGGGCAACTCCATCTGCCAGCGTTCCAGCATGTTCTGGTTATAGTGCGATGGCAGTATGCTAATCAGTTGCGCAGATTTGGGCATCAGCTGCTCCAGTTGCTTGCCGACAGTGTGAATAACCATGTCCCACCGCACCCTCTCGGTCAATATCTCTTCCATAATCTGTTCGAGCAGGGGGCCGGCCTCTGTCTCCCTAAACGGCTCTCCGCTCACAGGCGATATTAACGGAATGTGCAGCTCCCGTGTGGATTCAATCTTTGGGACGACTTGCCCGACGTGTTCCATGCCATACACTCTGTCCGTATGCCACATACCCTGGATTTTCCTCATCGCCACATTCTTCGTCTTCTTAAAGTCATTAGACTCGGAGAAAAGCGACTTCAGCGTTGTTGGTGGTCCACCTATGCTGACCGAGCTTCCGGCGTTATCGACGTTGAAGACAGACGCGCCATTGGTTGGAGGATATGCCTATTGCATTCCTTAGCATATCGCCAACAACATCAGTCCCAGTTCTGCGCTCACTTTGTCTTCGTTGAATTGGTTTACCGCATCACGCGCGTCTTTCTCACCCATTCCGTGGACACAATATACCCAGGCGCCGTCGGCATTGATCTCATCGTGAGAAACCTCCAACGATCGACAAACTTGATCGACAACCAGACCAAAACGAAACGAGATTCGGGCGATATCTTTGGCGATACTTGGTATCATCAAAATGCTAGGTGAGAGACCGATTGCAGCTGCCGAGAGTAGACCCGAGCCCCTTCCGATGAGTGAGGTGCTGACCGCTGTGAAATTGTACTCCAGTGGATGAGCCTCATGATATCTGCCAGAATATTGGTGAGCCTTTTATCACCATTTGGATGTCTGGGTGAAACCTACGCAACAAAGCTTCCCAATTGAAAAACCAACACCAAAACTCGCTCGATGGCCCCACCGAGTGGCGTCTTTCTTAATTGCACAACATGATCTGTCAAATCGAGGACGCTTTCAAAAGGCGGGATCATGTCTCGGTGGAGATGGCTTAGTCGGCTACACTCGTCCTTCAATGCCAGTGTCACGCACTCTAGCAATGATGCCAAAACCACATGATCTTGTTCTTTGCTGAGCAGCTTTAGCTTTCTGAATAGGGTTCTTTGATCGCCCTCTGGGTCTCCCTGCGGAATTTCTCCCGAAAAATACAAGACTTTTGCTGAAACCATTGGGACAATATTTGCTTCGCTTATTGAGAAGGTATAATATGTGATCCCAGACTTTAACAGGCATAGGGCTTCTAATACTGCGAGTATTTAAATGGCGTCAAGCTCTATGTATCGGTTACACAGCATTTGTCTATCGGCTCTTACATGTCAGCATATAATAGATTACTACAGCATATGAACTGCTTACTTTGCTTACCTGCGCGCCTTATTGGGGTCTTTGCTTCCCAAACGACCAGTCGATCCGCAAAACCGTAGGTACTCAGCTGCGGTAGTAATCTAGCTATGAATACTTGTACCTCCGATTTGATCAATAGTAATTTGATACGTATACCAAATGCAACAACTCCAAGGCTGAGTAACACGTAAACCACCAACTCCACCACCAGCCAACGCAGATTCAATATCAGCACAAAACAAGTCGCTGTTATTTCATCATCATGAACTTCCAAATCACTGTTAATCGATAATTTCGTCATTTCCGCCGGCAACACTGGCAAGCTTGTCGCCGTAGTCCTCCTCTTCTCCGCCCACTCTTGCAACGCTGCGAGGCAATGCGCTGGAGGTGGAAATCCTCCATAATTTATCCTCTCGATGTAGAATGAATATACGGACTAGACTACGGTATCTTGTATATGGTGTATACTAACTTATGTCTATGGATAGGGTATATGACCAAAGGATATATGGGTCTCTCATTGATGTACTTCGTTTAGTTCTTCGTGATCAATCACAAATATCACTACACAGTTACTTTGGTATCAATAGATCAGCATCAAATGTAGGGTGTCATGTATACGAGAATACCACGAAGCTTTCTCTTCCACCTTCGAGTGCTCCTGTTCGTGTATATAAATCACTACTGTAGACCTAGATGGCTTCCTGAATTCCGAGAAGAAAACGGCTCTAATCTACATTTGGAAATCCCCTGTGCCATCACGACAGAGCCCTAGACTCCCACGCTCAAGTCCTAGACTCCCACACTCGAGTCTAGCTTTCAGACCGTCTATATTGCTGTTCTCGAAATCCTTGAGCTCACCCATGGGAAGAATTGAATGCATGGCACGCATGCGCTGAAGGGCTGCCGTCTCCTCCGGCGAAAGTTTCCCGAGCAGGCGTTCTTGCTCGGGTGTGCCTTTTGCCTCCACAATGTTGGTCAACTTTCTTTGTAGCTCCGTATCGTGCAGGTCGTTGAGCGCATTAAGGCAGAGGTCGATAGTTTCGGTGATTGACTCGCCGGTAGCCTTCAGTGCCGTTTCCTTGTCTGCTGCTCCTTGGATGACTGTCAAAATTTAGAACTGTTAGCATCGTAATATACAAATAATATGGGTGGAGAGAGCGACGCAGGGCAATGGAAGTCGCATGGTAATCTCACCTGGCCTGAGGATCGCGAATGCTCGATCAAAGCCTTCCTCATCAAGGTCAGACAGGATCGGTTGTTCCTGCATGCGGATTTGCTTGAGAGCAGCCATTACCACAACAAGGAATAACGTGTATCCTTCGTCAACCTTTTTCGAGTACCATCTGGAGGCGTCGAATTCGTTGCAGTCTCCCCGAATGGATGCATTGATGGACGTCGCCGCTGCTAGGGCACTCGACAGGGCCAGATGATGACCAGACGAGAAAAAGGGATCAATGAAACAACCCGCATCGCCAACAATACGGAAGTGTGGACCGGCATACGCACTGGCACTGTAGGAATAATCTGTGGCTTGCCTGATACCAGAAGCTAGTTCAGCTGGTTCCAAATAGGATGATATCGTCGGGCAGAGTTCGACGAAGCTCGCCAGGGTCTGAGCCTCCGTTGTCCCTTCCGGCAAGGCCTTCTTCTTGGCAAGGAAAATGTCTCTTCGAACAACAGCTCCGATTGATACTGTGCCATTGTGTAAAGGCAGCATCCACACCCAGCCTGATCCATCTACATATGGTCATACACGATTACCCGGTCAGCGACCAGCAAGCAAGATTTGCATATACTTGACGGACTCACCTCTCATGCCTTCAGATATGGGCTGATTTTCGCGATCTGTTCCTGGATTTGGTGGAATATTACCCTTGAAGTACCCCCACATAGCAATGTTTCTGAAGCTTTCGTTGAACTTGCGATTCTTGAGGTACTTGGTCGACAGCACACCAATTCGACCCGTGGCATCCACCAGATAATCGAACGAGATGGTACCAGAACAACCATCTTTCGTCTTCCATTCGGCCGAACCAGGTCGTCCAGGGTTGGCCAATTTGTGTTGGCTGGTGAACTTGTCGTTCTTATAAGACTCGAAATTTACCGACTGCAACGAGACATTCTCGAATGTCTTTGCACCACTCTTTGCGGCATGGCGAAAAAGAATCTCGTCCGATTCAGACCTTACCACGTTCCAAGAGTATCCATTAGGACCGTTAGCCCGGATGAAGTCTGTGTCTGTGGTGGTTACATTAGAGCGTAGCTCCACACATCATTAAGGTTAATTCGCTCTACTAACATCCCGCACTCTTTGCGTTGAGCTTGAAAAATGCACCGAGCTTCATCCACGAGTCAGCCTATCTGAATTTGCACGAGAGATATAAGTGTTCCCTTCGTCCCCTTGGTGGCCATCTCACCTTCTTCTGGAATCCATGCTGTTCAAAAGTGTCTTCCAGATCGATAAAACGCAGTAAATATCTCATTGAAGGGAGCAGGCTCTCTCCGATGTGGTATCTGCACAAGTTAGGTGCCCAAGCGGGCAATATGTGAGGTCAGGCACACGGATCCATACCGGGGGTGGCTATCTGCTTCGAGCAAGACAACATCGACACCTTCACGTGCGAGAGCAGCCGCGGTATAAGAACCTCCAGGACCACCACCTGCTACGAGAACGGTACAAGATTGAGGAATCGCCATCTTCGAGATACAATAATATGAATACTGAATATTCTATTTAATCGCAGTTGGGTGATGTGGAAGCTATAAGAGCCTCCGTGGTTGGACTTTGTTTAATGGGCCCTAATATGGAAACTAATCTAGATTACCTCGGTCAGCATTATGGATATTGGTGCTTACCGGAGATTATCAGTGCTTACGGAAGATTATTCGTGCTTATTTTCATACTTTTCGTTAAGATTTCAATGGAGGAATGATCAATCTTGTTTGCCTCAATCTTCGGCTCATGCTGGCAGTCATCGATCGCCCAAAACCCACCCGTAACAAAAAGGGTGACTAGGCAGTCATTAGAATAAGCCCGGCGTGTGCAGCCCAATTAGGAACGGCAGTGTAACCAGTTGACGGTAGGGTTGACGATTTACCGCAATAAATATAATTCATGGTACATACGGCTTATTTACTGTTGATAAAAGAAATTGATAAATTACATGGTAAGAGGGGAACCCTAGAGGTGAACTAAACCCTGCCTGCCTGTCTGCGAACCAGACGGCCATTAGGGGTAGGAGGAGGTATAGAGGGGAGAACACCTAGAGGTGATAGTAGAAGAGAAATGCTGCTGGATTGGCATCCTATAAGCTAGGAAGTCTTATATATCACATAAATCCTGAGTCATCATATAGACCGCTATTTCAGCCATTCCAGCTATTTCATGTAGCGAGCCATTCCCCCACTACAACGGTGGTTTGACCATCCTTTGTACACCAGCAACTTGACCTTCGCGTACTGGCAGAGTAACAGATATCAGCGATCAGCGACTTTGGTCAGAATGGGGATTTGTTGGTCCGTTCAAATTTTGCGAGGGTATTTGCTCCGATAAACAAGTAGGTACGCGGCAGGGCTTTATTAAAAGGTCTATCTAATACATCTGATACACCCGACTGGCCCACAGTCTGTATACTGAACGCCAGGCAACTGTAGAACTCTAGACCCGACAACGTGAGTCGCGGAATGCCGCCCTCCTCCACCCAACGTGATCGCCCATCATTCTAAACACACCACCGAGCTTCTGGCTCCTAGCAGACACGCCAACGATCCGGAGGCGATCATGCAGCGCCACCGGCCGCCTTCTTCAGCTCATCACCGTGGAGCTTCTTCCAGCTGCCAAAGAAGCCAATGACAGTGGCGACACCAAAGGCAGCAATTGTAATCGCAAAGACAGCTTTAAGACCAACCATGTACGCGTCGATGATGACGGAAACTTGCGAGGCCGTAAAGGCTTCGCGGATTTGTGTTGCACCGGTCCCAATAGCTACCGCCGGGTCGATCTCGGGGAGTTTTATGGCAAGTGTCTCAATCAGCTGATTGTTGAAGGCGCATTGTGCTGCTGAGAGAAAGAAAGCTCCGCCAACGGTCATGAAGACTGGCACTACTGTTAGAAGACATCTCGTGTAAGCTACAGTAAATCAAGAACTCACAATTGACAATAGCTGTGGCCTGCGACATGTCCTCCGGTGAAGCATGGACTTGCGCGTTTGACATGGCAATCTGGAACGTCCAGCCCGCGCTGAACCCAACAAGAATCTGATACCCAATCCACTTGCCAGCAGATGTTTCAGTATCAAAAGTATAGAATAGGCCGCAGCCGACGGTTCCCAAAAATCCACCAATGATCCAAAACAGGGGTACGATGCCGATTTTGGACAGCGCAAATCCCTGCACGATGGCAGCGAGGGTTAGCGGGATGATGAGTGCGAGCATTTTGAGACCAGATCCGATTGGACTGCTGTTGTAGACGCTCTGAAAATAGATCGGAAGATAGTAAAGGATATTGAAGTAGGCGCCGCCGAAAAAGAACATGAATATGGAGCCCACAGAAATGTAGCGTTTCATGAACTGCAGCCATTTCGCTATTAGTTCATGTCAGAGCAGGATAGGACTTGCATCATGGCTTACCAGTCGTGGAACAATCATTGCACGTTCCTTCTGGTAGATTTCCCAAGCCACAAAGACCAGAACGATCACAACAAAGCCGACCAGCAGTCCTATAACCTGGCTGCTCTTCCAGGAATGTGTTTGGCCGCCATACTGCAGCGCCAGGATATATGAAATGATTAAGCCCATCATAAGGGCTCCACCGACGAGGTCCATTTGTAAGAGCTTCTCTTTAGGTGTAGCCTTTGCCGGGGCTGCGCTACTTGGGGCCTTGAAGAGCATGAAGATCATCCCGGCAGCTAGTCCTCCGATGGGCAGGTTGATGTAGAAGCACTATTCAGTGGTCAGTGATAGCCCTGATATTCCAATGGCACTCATCTCATCTTACCCAACGCCATGACACTTTTTCAGTGAAAGCGCCGCCGATGAGCGGGCCCAAGACTGCGGCGATGCCGTAAGTTGCTCCGGTAAAGCCCAAAAGCTGTGGACGTTTCTCAGGAGGTGCAGCGAACCCGATAATCGTGAAAACTCCCACGCCAACTCCGGATCCGCCGAAGCCAGCGATAGCCCGGCCGGCTATGAGAGTTGTAGGGTCTTGAGCCACGGCGCAGATGAGGCTGCCCACTTCAAAAATGAACACGGCAACGAGAAACCAAAGCTTGATTGGAAAGTACTTGTAAAACTTTCCCCAGGTTGATTGAAAGCCTGTAATAATTAGCCATTTCGTATTCAGGTGGCTTTACGGCCAAGTATCCAAGGATTTGTAGATGGGAAGAAAGAAGAAAGGAGCCGCTCTGCATGAAAGGTCAACATGTCATCCAGAAACGAATGTGTCCATAGAACTGACCACTGCCATATGTCATCAAATAGGCTGACCCGTACCACGATACTCTGTTGAGGTCATGGAATTCGTCCGTTATTTTGGGAATGGCCGTGCCGAGGATGGTCTGTTGATAGCCTTGGTCAGCTGTGTGGTGCATCGCGGACACGGGGAACTGACGTTGTCGAGTGCCACCAAAAACATGCCCAGCATGAGTGACAACACAACAGCAGCCAGGCGGGCACCATGCGGATATTCATCAGCGGCCTGAGCTTTTGCGTCGTGGCTGGCGACATCCATGTCGCCTCCTTCTGAACTTGACTCAAGGAGGGTACGCGAACGCCGCGGATGGTCTTCGGCCATCGTGTGCTTCTCTGAGTCGATGGTTTGCTTGTCCATTGTTGACCAATTTTGCAAAACGGTGATATAACAGGATAAACATTGCCCCTTTTCACGATACGAAATAAATAGTCTGTTTATGTCTCTCGGCTTCGGACGAACACCTGGCGCAACTAAAAGACATCTCGGTAGTAGACAAAGTGTGTCAGTAGTTCGGCCGAATCAAGCTCGGCTCCAATTCAATCTTCAACAACGATCTCGTACGAAGACGTTCTATTAGTAGTATGCATACATTGTAATAGTCTCAAGGACAGAACACCCAGATCCTTCAAGAGAAACCATATTTTTGGATACCGTCAACAGAAGCGTAAATTTGCATTGCTTGTGGGTTGGACCTTCTCCTGAGCGTGTGCCTATCTCGGCTGAATCGTCCGAAGGGGCCGTTCGGACGAGTGTCCATTAGTCAGCATCGAGACAACTATCATCTTCAACCACAACGAAAAGCGCCTCGGACATCTCCAGTACTAATCATCTCGGTCTAAACTTCTTGATAGGGTATCTGCACATTTCCGCACTCAGTTAAAGGCTAGTCTCTCTTGCCGCGGTCGTAGCTTGCGACAAGCCTACCCACCGAATGATGAGTGTTCCCTCGGACGAACCCGCGGCGAAGCGCAGAAAGGTCCGCAAAGGTACACACAGCTGCTGGGAGTGCAGGCAGAGAAAAGTCAAGTGTACATTTTCATCGCTGGATGATGCGATCTGCATCACTTGCCATCGTCGAGGCGCGAAATGCATCAGTCAAGTAATCTTGGACGGACCGGAAACGGCTAAGAGCGATACAGGAGATGCTGAGCAGGACGCTGCTATTAATTTACGGCTAGTGAGCGAGAGTGGTGTCCGTTCTCAACCAGATGCTACTGTTGGCTGTTCGTCACCGACTCCCTTTGCAAGACATAAAACACCGGCATCGTCAGTGCATGGCAAAGTTAGTCGGTATTTTCACATACACAGCTATTCACTAATGATATAATAAAGCAAAAGAATGTGTCGAATCGCCTACAGACTGAGGAATCACCAAGCCAACTCGCGACACCTCAGTTGCCACCAACGCCAGTGTCCAGTCATGCCTCCATTTCGGAGGCTTCCGCATATCCCAGTATCACTCAAGCCCTACGAAGTTCTCTTCCTCCTCGAAAAGACATTGAGATTCTGCTTGCAAACCTCAGCAGCATGTCCATCTTTTGCTACCAATCCAGCTTCAAGCTATGCAGCTCATGGCCGAGCGAACTGGCCAAAGAACAAATGCCAGTAGCCAACCTCCTATATTCGGAAAGCCACCCAGTCTTGTTGGCAAGGCAAATGCTGCTTTTCGCAGTAGGGTTACAACACCTATCTCCCACAAAAGCGATACCTGGCCTCACCAAGCATCATCGTGCCATCATGGAACAGCTAGCAGACTCGGCCATCAAGCTGGTGAATACGAATGACGTCTTGCTGGGCACGTTGGAGGGTCTCGAGAACCTCATCCTTGAAGGTTTCTATCACATAGATGGCGGCAACATCCGGCGATCCTGGATCACAATGCGCCGTGCTGTCATGACAGCACAGCTATTGGGCTTGCACCGACCAGGTCACTATCGCTTCAAAATCGCCAACCAGCAGAACGATCTTGATCCTGCGGTCATGTGGGCCTGTGTGGTTTCCACGGAGCAATTTCTATGCTTGCTGCTGGGTCTGCCCACAAGTACCAGCGGTGCGAATTTCACAATCCCCAGAGCAACGAGCGCTTGTGTTGAGAGTGGCAACTTGCCTGTACTCATTCCGGATGTGGTACGCAAGATTATCGAAAGGAATCAGATACACGCACCCCAGGAAGCACTTGAAATGACTCAAGAGATCGATCAGGAGCTCTTGAGGGTCACTGAGCAATGGCCACCTACGTTCTGGCGACCATTGCAACTTGCGGGTCTCGAAGTAGACTCGGCGGATGCCTTCTGGGAAACTCGACGAGTTTGGGACCATATATTCTATTACTCTTTAGTGAACCAGCTCCATCTGCCGTATATGCTGAATCCAAGGCATACTTCGCAGAGGGTGTACTCAAGAATTGCCTGCGCAAGCGCCAGCCGTGAGATTCTGATCCGACAGATTGCGATCCGTACGTTTAATCCAGTCACGGCCGGCTGTCGGATGGGCGATTTTGTGGCTCTGATTGCGGGCATGACACTGATGCTGGCCCATATCTTGAGCCACTGTAATAAGGGTACGGGAAACCTACTCATACACCAACGGGTTGGAGACCGGGCGACGGTGGAGCGGGCTCTTGAGTGCATGGAATCTATGTCGGAGCTGCATGAAGATGTCCTCACAGCGAAATGTGCTGCCCTTCTCAAGAATTTGTTGGATATTGAGGCGGGGCCTGCAGAGAGGCACTTGGATGATGGTGAAGGAGACGTTCAAAACGTGTTGATAGTCAAGGTGCCGTACGTCGGTGCCATCAGAATTGCGCGAGATGGTATTTCTATTGCACCCTTCGACACGGAGCAGGAACAAGTTCCTCATGAAGGTGTGACAATTGGTGGCTTTGGATCTATCCATGTCAGAACACCACGCCTCTCCGACCATCATGCTGATGTGGCCACGTCCGATGCTGCAGCCTCACGAGCAACTGCAGAGGCATTGGGGCCATCCTCAGCACGGCAGCACGGGGGACGGGTTGCCCAGGCCACGTCTGGAGATGTTTTCTCATTGCCAGAAGATCCATTCCCTGATGCTTCTGCTGGCATGGAAGAATGGCTTTTCCAAGGCCTTGACACTGCCTTCTTTGATGTGCTGATGAGCGGAGCTGGGGAGCCGCCGCTGAACGGCACTGACACTGAAGGATGGAATTTTACGGTTTCCCAATGAATGATGATAATTAATCATTCGGTCTCTTTTTCTGGATCCTGAATTCTCTCTAGCCACATGCAGCACTTGCGTTTTCAATTGCTTGTTGCCTTTTCCGAGACCAACTTAGGTAACGGATGCGGACAAAGTAAAGAAATAACGCAATGTTCGAGTAGTAATACGCGGAGTTGCGTTGAGACCGGCACTCGTCTGTAACGCAGTATTTACGACAGATGAGGTATTTATATAAAAACGGACATAAGCCCAGGAAGATCATGTAGCTAGGAAGTACAAAATGAGTGGTCCATAATGCAAATTAGAGTGCGGGGGCCCGTACATAAAGTTATACTTGAAATCAAAGAATCGAATCTTTTTCAAAAAGTGTTCCAGCTAGGGAATCTCATGAGCTTCGGCTAGGCGTGTCTGTCGGGCCGATGCCGAGGAGTGGTCGGGATGTTCCGAGTCCATCGTGAATCCTAGCAAAACCCGTAGACTAGGCAAGGCTGGGAAAGATGCTGGAATTGAGGGTGCGAGTTATGTGGAGGCTCTTTCCCTGTACCCATAGAACTATGCTAAGCATCTCGTGTTGTGTCGATCTCTTTTTTCCCGCGAGTCCTACCGCCTACATTACATTGTTCCTGTCGGCGGAGGCCAAAACCACCTGATCCAATAATATGTCTTTTTCTGTATTCACACTCCTTTCATCGCAAACCCATCAGCGAGATAACGTTGGGGTGAATAAGTTATCCGGTCAAGCCCAACTAAGAAGACGGTGAGACCGACCGAAAGCTCCCAAAGAGTCCCGTGGCACGTACACGTCGAGGTCCGCGTAAATTCCGCCTTCAGTTTGAACAACAAGCAGTCTAGCAATGTCGGCACGTTGGATATTGTGCGGATATCCCATGTATGTCGGCAGTAGCCAGGCATATTTGGACTTGATGAATTTGAGGACGTCGTTGTCAGTCCAGAGCTTGACGGTGTAATTTTGGGGCTCCAGCATAGTCTTCCATGACTCATGTGACGGTTCCATTCCCGTAGAATACTCTTGGATTTCGCTTGTTTTCCATATTTGGCGGACAGTGTCGGGTATTCCGGAGTCGAGTATATGGGTAAAGTTAGCGAGAAGTTCGAGGGCATCAGCAGTGCATCCGGTGATTATCCTTAAAGACTCGGACAACCGCTCGGCAAGGCAAATCGTCGGCGTAGCTGAGTCGATGGATAACGAAGACCGCGAAAGAGAGGGCTACCAGAACGACGAGCCTTCTCCTCCCCTTTCCCAAGAAGGCTACCATCGTTGTTTATCTGGAGATGAGACGTAAGTTTGACGGTGACGGGACATTAATCGGTGACGGATTGTCTTTGAACGATTGTTGAAGCATAGAGGTGAAGGATCAACTCAGACGCTTGAGCGGCACTCTTGTTCAAAGATAAGTCCGAAGCTGGCCATGCCCCGTCTCCGACAATGTTGATCCCATCAGCGCAAAAGAGCATGTTTCATTTTGGGTCAGAATTAATTCCCGACATATCTGCATTCGCCTACTTGTCTCCGGCTGTGAAAAGGATATCAGCCTTATAGTAGCCTTTGATAGTACTGTCGTCGAAATACTGGAGGAATAACTCGCTGCCTAGTTTACTCTTTTCCGAACTTTTCTCTGCTTAAAACACACCAGGATGGGTTGAGTTTAAGACATATCGAATTGTATCAAATCATACGAGGATCCTGTGGCCTATTGTAGATAAATAGTACAGAAATCCTCAATATATGCCGTAATGAGTGAAACGGGCATGCTCGTATTAAAGACAGCCGTTGTGGGTACGGAAAACCCGAGAAACAAGAGCTGCCAAGATGTGAAACCTTAGGTATGCAAGAGCATCCTGGCCGGGACAAACAAGAGAGTAAACCGGAACTCAAGCGTGGGTTTGAGACCGAGGGCACCGGCCCGATACGTGCTGGACAGGCAACCTCTCCTGGCAACGGCTGCAGTGCTTGGTGAAGTAGAACTGGACACAGAAATTTCCATTATGAAGTTGCTGCAGTTGAGAAGTGGTTGTCAATCCATGCGTAATTCAAGCGATATATATTTTAATAACAGCTTCAGACAATGTATATACAAATGGTGGAAAGGGCCGCATGAATCTTGCCCTTGAAGATCAAACAAACTCCCGAACTTCTGAGGGCTTCAGTAGAATGTCGATGCTATTTGAATGTCTCGCGAAGAGAAACAATAGACGGAACCATCAACAGCTTAATCGAAACTCCAAAACACGGACGTTCTCACAGTGTATGTTCGTTTATTTCTTTATGACTACATGGCACTTAGGAAGGTGACTCGACATCCGCATCAAGCATCACTGGGTATTTCAGAGATACTGAGAAGGATGCGGTGGTGGCTTGGAGGTTTGCTCCCAGAGAGGTGGTTGGAAATCGTGTGGCGCATCAATCCAATCTTCGTTTCATTCATTGGGGCTTGGTTGTTCAACGTGAATGTCGGTGAACAGACTCAAGCTCAAAGATTAGAGTGTCCACAGTGACCGGGCGGAGAAAGAAGTAACGAACTCAACCGATTCGTTGCTTGCGTCTTACCCACACTTCTTTGTCGGTATCTTCGCAGTCACGTAGCTGAACTTCCCACACCTTGAGAGTGTAGTTGCCACGATCTGCACGCCCAGAAAAGATGTCAAACGACCAATTGTGCTTGGGACATGTGATACCGGTGCTCAGGACGATGCCAAAGTCCTCGATATCGAAGAGGTGGCCCTGGGACAGGGGAAATGAGGAGTGAGGGCATTGCTACGCTGGGTCAGCTTCATCTTTGAGGGGCTCCTATTGGCTTACATGGTCAATTGCATGGACCTTATCCTTGTATTTGAAAACCATCACTTGGTCCTTCAAATCTCCTGGCATGTCCAGTTCTGCCTCAACCGGTGACTGGCCGATGGGGATTTTGAAGGCTTTGCATCGTGGTGCGATCTTATCATCATCGAGGTTGGGCAGCTCCGATACTAAGCCAACTCGATGCCACACCTTGTGCACGAATGGATTCATGGAGGTGAATGTTGGAAGATCTTTTCAGCGCCAAGTCCGGTGGGTCCCGACATAAATACGGAGTGCCGAACGCTTTCACTTTTCCGTACTCCGTAGAACTCACCTATTAAATTAGATGCACGAAGCTGTTCAGGTTATTCGGAAATGGGACTAGTACGTATATTTAGTTCTTTACAGTAGTTGGCACAGGGTTAGATACCGAATCATCCATGTCACTGGCTAGGTAGTTTTGCCCTGGAATTGGAGCAGTTCAATTCATGTCAGGCCTATCTACTGAGATGAATTATTTCACACACATAAAGCCACACCCTTCGCGGGCACGCTCGCATGCTTTCTTCAGCAATTGCTCCTCAGTGTCGGTCCATTTATAGGTCAGAGAGTCCCACGGCTTGCCGGATTTGAATTCCTCACGGTGTTGCTTGTGGATAGCTTGTAATCGGCTAACCTCACGCGGATCTCCAGTTCCAGAATAAACCATGAAGAGAGTACACGGGGGAAGCGAGTCGTAGATGCGCGATATGTTGGAGACCGTTCGGGAAACGGTCTCAGCTAGAACATCAGGCTGTGGGACGTCTGTCGAAGAACCGCCAGTTGCTGCGGTGGGTGTAGTTTCCTCTGGCGGAGGAACAAGAGTCGTGGATTCATTGGCATTGTTCGGGTCTGGCATGCGGTTGCACCAGCCGCGGAGGTACTCTAGCTCGCGGAGACGGGCCCAGGCGAAATCGACACCACCGCCTGGAATAGAAACATTGGATTCATCACCATTGATCACTGCAGAGACACCGGTGACCACCGCATCATCATCTCGGCATCCGATGGAGACTGTTGCTTGTGAGCCGAAACCCCGTTCAGGGTTGCCCCAGTCAACCACGGCACCTGTTCGTTCTTCGCCTGGACGAGGGGCATAGGCCGGTCGGACAGAGCGTGAGAGACGACGGAAGATGCTCTCATTGGAGGAATCGCTGGTGCCCCAGCGCTCGCCTTTCTCGCACTTCAACTTCACAAGTTCAAGGACAGCACGGGCATCTTCAATGGAGTCATGACCGGCCATCCCATTTTGAATCTGCTTGCCCATGTACTTTTGGGTCAGCCACTTCAGGCTGCATTTGAGGGGTGGACCACGTGGATGCGGGTAGATGATGCTGGTGTCGACGATGAAGGGGTGAACGAGTTTCAAGGCAGTGAGGTCGGAGTTGAGAGAGTGTCCAACAAGGATTGCACGCGGTGTGAGAATGGCCAAGAGCCGCTGCTGAATGTCGGCAAGGGTCGTTGTCACAGGTTCCAGCATCTCTGGTGTGATTCCCGAGAAGCGCGTCAAATAATTAATCACAGGCCGATCGGGTTTAACCAGCTCATCCAGAACCACGTCGCCGTCCCAACGAACCATGCTGATACGTGTGAGTTCTGAATGCCCCCTTCTGTGATGCACATTTCACAATCAAGGGCGAAAACATCCCGTCCAGCAGTCATGCTGCCCTTTTCAATCTCCGCGTCCGGCACCTCGGCGGATTCCAGCGTCGAAACTTGAGTGTCCACCCATCCATGTTCCGCTGCATTTCCACTTCGTCGACGAGCCTCCGCCTGGGAAGACTTCTCCTCCTCCGATGTGAAAAACGCAGGGTGCAGTATGTAGTCGCTGTCTTGGAGATCTTCGCGGGAGGTGACGAAGGCGGTGATTGGCGTCCGCTTAGGGACAAAGCCTTTCTCGACTTTCGCAGGGCGTGCGCCCTTTCCACGGGACTCGTCATTCTTGGATTTGGGAGCCGAGGACAGCAGAATGGCCTGCAATGGTGAGTGGACCTTGTTGTATTTGTTGTCGCCCGGCGCTTTGACGGGCCAAATGTGTGGGAAGATGTCTGCCAACGGCTGAAGGGGCTGCGCCAGGTTGTCACGAATGAGAGGACGAGGATTGAAGCGGTGCGAACGGTCTTCCTGTGGCAGACCTTGTTTCCATCGTTCGAAATCGGCTGCCCTGTCGTCTTCTGGCGATTCGGTGGGTGGCGGTTGGTTGGGCTTTGTTTCCTCCGAGTTCTCCTTGGCCGGTTCCACAGGAATGGTTCCATCGAACATGCCCATCTCTAGTCCTGGTACCATCAGTACAACCACCTTGCGCACATGGCCAGAATGCTTCATCGAGATCCATTGCGGTGCGATTCCATCGGCGAAGCAGTAGAGAAGTAAGCCCTGCAGATCTGCGATTCGGATGGATGACTGCAGCTTTCCTTCCGCATAGGTGAGATCTGGGTATTTCACCTTCTCACCGTCCACTCTCTTCCGCTTCTTTATCGCACTGCTGTTTGAGCCTTCAGTGCTCGGGGTGTCGCCTTGCACACGGGACAAGGTCTCGGCCATGCCATTGCCGTGGGATCTGGACTCGTCGGAACTGAGCTTTCTCTTCCGATTCCCCATATCGGCCTTGGTTTCTTTCGGAGCTTCGCAAGAGGAAATTCGCGAGATAGAGAAAGTCACATGGAGATATGGGATCACGTGATAAAAAGGCGTGACGAGTGCAAACGGTGCAAACGGCGCAAATCCGATCTGATAACCGGAGGATTGCGTGGGATCGTGGGAAGCAGATTCACCTTTACGACACCACCTCTATTGTCTACACTTCTCCCTCTCGCCTCCTGTATACTTTGTATACCTTGAGTACCGAATCCTGCAGGAATATTGCCGACCCCGGCCATTCTCCTCCTTCCCATCATTCCACCATGTCCGCGCTCACCGAAATCACATCCGAGGCCGACTTCTCGTCGCACCTTTCCTCTCTCTCGCCCACTGCATTGGTCGTCCTTTACTTTCACACCCCATGGGCGGCTCCATGCGCGCAAATGGGCGCTGTGCTCTCCGCCCTCGCTTCGCAGTACCCCGCCACAGCCCCGCCTACCATCTCGTTTGTCAGCATCAATGCCGAGGAGCTTCCTGATATCTCGGAGGAGTATGACGTTTCAGCCGTGCCCTTCGTTGTCTGTCTGCGCAGTGGCCAGATTTTGGAGTCGATCAGTGGTAGTGATGCCGTGAAGGTGCGCGATGCTGTCGAGCGTCACGCGGGCCGCGGGCATGCAGCAGGCGCTAGTCCGATGGATGCTGTGAGAACCGCCATCCCTCCACCGCTGTCTGCTGTGCCTCGTGAGGACGGTCCCATCACTGCTACTCAGCCTCCTGTCTCTGCATCTCAAGCGCCCCCTGCCGACTCGGCAAATGCCACCGCTGTCGCATCGGCTCCCGGCATGACGCCAGAACAATCTAAGGAGGCCCTGTTTGCCCGCCTTGAGCAGCTGGTCAAGGCCGCATCAGTTATGCTTTTCATGAAGGGAACCCCTAGCAGCCCGCAATGTGGCTTCAGTCGACAGCTGGTGGGCATTCTTCGTGAGCGCAGTGTCAAGTACGGATTCTTCAACATCTTGGCCGATGAGGACGTGCGACAGGGTCTCAAGGAATACGCTGAGTGGCCTACTTTCCCTCAACTGTGGGTTAACGGGGAGTTGGTTGGTGGTTTGGACATTGTAAGTGTCTTAGTATTGATGTTCTATTTGATCCAACTGCTAATTATTTGATTTAGGTCCGCGAGGAAATCAACGCCGATCCCGACTTCCTCAATGACTTCTCTGTGAACAAGCCCACCGCAGCTTAAGTTGTTGGCTTTTGCTGCACGATACCCATGACTCCCCTGTCCCTGGGGCTAGATGCTTAAATCTAACATAATGATATATGCTTAGTCCTGGGGAGGCTTCTGTGCATGTTAGATTGTTTTTTTTTTCCACCCATTCCACCCTTCACCTACCACACTTAGTTGCTTCTAGTTCAACTGAGCAGTATCCAAACCATTCATCGCGGACATCATCAATCTCTTTCCCTGGATTCAAATGTATATACACACGTTTCACCTTGGTAAGGATTATCCACGGCGCCTTCAGCTGTAAGAGCAAAGCCGACATACAAGCCCACTGCAAGAGTATTGATGCAATGCCATGCGACCTCATTACCATGCCATGTGAAGATAGCAAGGTTGCCTGCCGAGTACTCTCCAAACTTTGCTAGCAAGAACATCCGAGGGAAACCATCCTCACTTCTACTAAAACCAGATATCCGTTTCTTCAAGCACGGGAAGCATTGCCTTAATTCAGGTCTATTTTCAATTGCAGCGTGTCCTCTTCTTTAAGTTATTTTGCTCATTTCTTCCAGGCTGCAGGAAATTTTTTCTGGGCAACGGCGAAGCAAGAGAGCAGAGCATCGGTGTCGACATATGCACCTGCCAACCAGCGAGATCCTCCAGTGGAGTCGAATTGCCGGCGCGCATGAACAATTCGTCGGTTGTCAAAGATAGCACACTCACCTGGGTTAAGCTTGAGCTCAAAGGTGGCATTCTTTTGTTCGATGAGCCCAGTAAAGACTGAAAGGGCATCTTGCAACTTGTTTATAGCCTGGGGATCATGTTCATTGCCTCTCGACGGCGGAAGAGCAGATTGGAAAGGGGGCGAGTAATTCACATGGCGTAGTTCTTCTGTTTTTGGGTCCAGCTCGAAGACTGGTCGCTCGTTATAGTAGATGCTGTTCTCATGCCTGTACTCGTAGCCCAAATGCTGCTCACAAAGCTCGGTATATGCAGGCCGGTATTCATCGCGCATGGTTTCGGCTGCATAAAACGCGTCCGCGAACAGCGACTCGCCTCCCTGGCATGAGTTCTCCAAGCAGTGGAGGAGTTGGTATCCAGGTGGCTCGTTCATATACATCAAGTCCATGTGGAAACCAAGAAACGTGTTGGTGTATGCCACATTTTGCGCATTTGGAACAGTCCGCACATCAAAAGTTGATCCATAAAACGTGTTGCGCAGGGGACCCATGCCTGTGGCGATCTTTTCAACCATCTCCCTGGACTTGGGAATATCTTTAACGAATATCAGACCCTTAGATTGCAAGTGACACATGGCTCTGGCAAACCCAGGACCACCAGCAACGTAGTCCTTATACGAAATCCAATGCTGGTCTTGTTCCATGCGTGTTCCACTCCATGGCACCGGTCTAGTGTCCTCTGTCAGGTCATGAGGGTTGTGTCTGGGCTCTTGCAGATCCTTGAGGAGCCATGTCGACTTGTGGTGGGCTGGATAGCCGGGGATGTCGTTGGTCCATTGAATGACAAGGTTGATCCCGTTCCACTTGACCGAGCGGGGAACAACATTCTTTGGAACATCGTTCGTGCGAAAAGGACGCTGGTGCGAGTGTTGATCCTTACACAGAGGACACTGACAGAGATCGCGTAGGTAGGTATAAGGCAGTTTCACTGTTCTACCATCCTCGCAATGCAAGTACAATACCTCCTTGTCCAGCCAGCATTGGCCGCGACCCTCCACAATAACATTCTTATGTGTAAAAGACTTTGGAGCTGCAGCTTGAGAGGCCGATTTGGGAGCTTTGCGGAGAGTATCGGTGATTTCACGTAGTTGTTTTGCTATGCTTGTTGAGTCGTGGGGGTCAGATTGCGGAGAGCTGTTGGCCCGATTAGCCGCAACGGTAAAGCTACGACTAGTCATTGGGCGTGATAATCCTTTCGGCAGCTGCCGAAAGACAGCTGGAGTTCGTAGACGATGCATGGAGGTAGTGAGGTGAATTGAAGAAGAATTGAGGCAGAGAACAGAGCTGAGAGAACGTGAGAGTCGATCTGTTTCGCGGGGGACCTCGGCTGAACGGCAGACACCTCAGGCACACATAAGGTGTCGCGATTACCTTACGAATACTGCATGAAACCGGTCTATAGATGATCCGTCGGCATAGCTTATGTAACTAGAATGGACCCATAAATAGTGAGAAATAGGGGTAATGGAAATACAGAGTCATTTACATCTCCAATTGGGTGGATACAGGACAAATCGTGACATAAGGCCTCAGGCCCTTATCATTGCTGCCTCAGGCCACTATCATTCTTCATCTCGGAGGCGACTCGACTTACGTAAATTCTTGTTTTTGTTGCTCATTCCAGTCCTAGTCATGGCTATTCTTTGATTCATTTCTTCCCAATGTCAGGGGCCGAGCATCTGAAAGATGAAGGCACTAAACGACAGGTCGTGCTGGCCGGCGGGATCGCCGGACTGATCTCGCGGTTCTGCATTGCGCCGCTGGATGTCGTCAAGATCCGACTGCAACTGCAGATACACTCATTGTCAGACCCGATCTCACACCAAGGGGTCAATGGTCCAATTTATAAGGGGACGCTGTCCACAATGCGGGCAATTGTGAAGCAAGAAGGAATCACCGTACGTTCCGGCCTTGGAAACAGTCGGTACCAATACTAACCCAGCGACAGGGTCTTTGGAAGGGCAACATCCCAGCCGAGATGATGTATGTCTGCTACGGTGCCATCCAATTTACCGCATATCGAGGAACAACACAGGCCCTGGCTCAACTCGGCCCCTACCGACCCCCTTCATCCGCCGAATCCTTCATATCCGGTGCTGTAGCAGGTGGATGTGCCACAGGAGCAACATACCCGCTGGATCTCCTCCGCACACGATTTGCGGCACAGGGCTCAGACCGTGTATACAGCTCATTGCGGGCTTCGGTGATGGATATTGCGCGACAGGAGGGCATGCCAGGGTTCTTCCGGGGCTGCTCCGCCGCTATTGCGCAAGTCGTGCCATACATGGGCCTCTTTTTCACGACATATGAAGCGCTCAGACCAGCCATGGCCACGTTGGATGTCTTACCATTTGGTACTGGGGATGCTGCTGCCGGTGTGTTTGCCAGTGTATTGGCCAAGACCGGTGTGTTTCCGCTCGATCTGGTCCGCAAGCGCTTGCAGGTACAAGGGCCGACAAGGACACGATATGTCCATCGCAATATTCCCGAATACAAGGGGGTTATCCAGAGCATTGCGTTGATTCTGCGCACGCAGGGCGTCCGGGGGTTATACCGTGGGTTAACAGTGAGTTTACTCAAGGCGGCGCCGGCGAGTGCAGTGACCATGTGGACTTATGAGCGCGCATTGAGTGCTCTTGAAAACCTGGAGGTTGCAACCGCCACCTGAACGTCTGTGTGGCTTTACTAGCATCCACCTGCATGGAGCATTGAATGGCGTTGGAAATACAAGGTTAATAATAGGTTCAGGCGGAAATTCATAAAGACATGGGATTTATTTTTCAAACTCTTCCTTTTCGTGCCTTGAAATCTGTCCTTCTTGGCCAAGATAACGCCAGTTCTCCTAACAAGGCTTGAACGCTAAGAACAACAGTGAAGACGTCGTCAAACAGACCTCAGCAGAGGTTCAGCCAAGAGAAGAGCAATATCTGCTGAAAGGGACAACGGGCCGAGGGCAATCAGTACTCAGTCTCTCCTGCCTCCACAATGCTATCTTCGGCCACCTCCTCGTAGTCTTTCTCAAGGGCAGCGAGATCCTCACGAGCCTCGGAAAATTCACCCTCCTCCATGCCCTCACCCACATACCAGTGTACAAAAGCACGCTTGGAGTACATGAGGTCGAACTTGTGGTCAAGGCGGCACCATGCCTCGGCGATAGCTGTAGTGTTTGCCAGCATGCTGACCGAGCGGTCCACGGGAGCGAGCTGACTGCCAGGGACACGGACAGGCTTTTGGTAATTGATCCCCAGTTTGAAGCCAGTAGGACACCACTGAACTAAGTTGAAGGAAGTCTTGGCCTTGAGAGCAGCGACTGCCTGCACACAGTCGCGGAGAACGATATCGCCCTTGTAGAGCAGAGCCACAGCCATGTACTTGCCCTTTTGGAGATCACAGATGACCATCTGGTTTCTTGGCTCAAAGCCTATGAGCGAGTCAGTCAAGAGGAATATACCAAGTTGCACAGGGAGACAAACATTTGAAGGTGAGATCTTGCACCTTGAAGCTCTCATGAGAACTGCTCTTCTCGCTGTTTACCGGGGCATACGAAATCAAAGGATAGTGAATACGCGGATATGGCACCAAGTTGGTCTGGAACTCGGCTAGGTCGACGTTGAGCACACCATCGAACCGTAAGCTTGAGGTGATGGAGCTGACCACCTGGGCGATGAGACCGTTCATGTGCTCGTAACCGGGACGGGGGATATCCAAATTGCGGCGGCATAGGTCGTACACGGCATCATTGTCCACGAGGAAAGTGCAGTCGGAGTTCTCAATGGTGCTGTGGGTGGACAGCACGGCGTTGTAAGGCTCCACCACTGCAGTCGAGGTACGAGGCGAAGGGTAGACCGAGAACTCCAGCTTGGACTTGCGGCTGAATTCAGTGGTGATACGTTCCAATAGCAGGGCGCCAAATCCAGAGCCTGTACCGCCGCCGTATGAATGGAAGATCATGAAGCCCTGCAGAGAGCTGCAGTTGTCTATGAAATGATCAGCCTAGGGCTACCGACAACGCCTTCAGCGTTCCACTTACCGGCCACACGACGAATTCGGTCAACAACGCTGTCAGAGATGTCCTTGCCTACGGTGTAGTGGCCACGTGCATCTGCCACATGTTAGCTTCCCTTGTTCTGCCAATGATTCCAAGGTCGAGACTTACAGTTGTTTGCAGCATCTTCCTTTCCGCTGATAAGCTGCTCGGGATGGAAGAGTTGACGGTATGTACCGGTGCGGATCTCGTCGATGGGCTACCACACTCTGTTAGTCCGGCTTTCCGATGTGCTTCAAGGTACATGCAGGCACATACTGACGGGTCGAGGTCAACAAAGATAGCGCGAGGGACGTATTTGCCACTGGTGGTCTCTGTGAAAAAAGTCTCATAAGATCCGCTCGTCACAGTGTCATCGGTCACATCAGGGTTGATGGATCCGTCGACGTTGAGTCCATGCTCAAGTAGGTAACTGTCTTTCGTCTTAGCAAGGGAATGGAGAGGAAACGGGTGAACATACAGCTCCCACGCAGCATTGCCGATCTGCACACCAGCTTGGCCAATGTGAATATGGCAAACCTGAGGTCTCAAGTTAGTATCAACTCGCTTGCTTAGGTTGTTCGGGCTTGGGAAGCCAAGTATCATGCGTGTCATGGGGAGATGGAGATGCCGGGAAAGGGTAAAGGACAATCAGAGCAGGACTTGGAACGTTACCTCGCCTCGCATATTGCCGTTACTTGACTACAGCGTCAAGACGAAGGAATCCGAAATAGAGAAGGAGAGAGGAAGAGAGAGGGAGATGGGAGAGGTGTGTGTTGGCGTTCGGTGTGCAACAAATGTCTCCAGCAAACAGCCACAGTGATTACAACTTAGCTACAGGCTGAAAATCGACAATTATATTCATTCTTCATTCTTCAGACGTCTTTTATTTGAGCTTTTTTGAAACTATCTGGATTCTGCTGTATGAACACTATTCATCCCAGCGGCTATATTCACATATATTTCCATGCCCTTCCCTATAGATAGCCCGTCTTTCTAGACCAGTAGACTTCCATGCTTCAATCGCCTTGTCTCGTATGATAAAATGCCCGGAATTCCGATCGTGTCGATAGCAAAGCCTGAGGCCGGTCACATTCAATGAGGTGGCCCTGCTTCATTAGGGCAACCCGGTCAAACCGCTCTATAAAACGCAGACGATGTACCACTGAGATCACTGTCTGTGATGCAAACTCGCGTTCGATGATGGCCTGCATCGTGGCTTCAGTCTCCCAATCCACACTATAAATTGTCAGTTACTGTACAACTGGGGAGAACGCAAAACATGCCTGCTAGTCGCTTCGTCCAATACCAAAATTGGACTTTTCATCACCAATGCGCGCGCCAGAGCAAGGAGCTGACGCTCACCCATTGACCAGTCCGATACTGATAATGGCTGGTCAAGTCCTCCACCCCCACTGGCAATCTTTTTCCATAGACCTACTGTCTCGAGAGCATCTATGAGACATGCATCCGGGAGACTGCTGATGGCAGTCCCACGATCTAGGTTAAATCTCAGGGTATCAGGTATAAAGAATGGTTCCTGTGGGATAACATTGACACGAGAGCGCACCTCATGACATGGTAAGGTGATGAGATCCATCCCGTCTATCTGGATGCTGCCACTTTGCAGCTCAATCATTTGCAGCAGACCGAGAATTAGTGATGTCTTGCCACTACCTGATGGACCGCATATTGCGACTTTCTCGCCTTGCTTGATTGAGAGAGAGCGTTATTTAAGATTGGGGGAGCATCAGGGCTGTTTGTCATTCAGGTCAGTGCGAGTGTGGTGACATAAAGTAACTCAAGGTGAGCCATACCTATACCTCGCCATGGTATTTTGAAATATGACTTCTCCGTAAGCAGGCCACTGAGGCGGGAGGTCAGCCATGGTGCCTTCAGGCTCAATCTCTGATGGTGTGTCCTTGACAAAGCTTTGGACACGCGAGACTGCCCCGATAGAAGTCTCAAGCATAGTCCAAGACTTGATCAAGATCATGAGATCTGTATTGAAACTTAAGATCAGGTTCAAGGCCACACCGATGGAACCCGGGCTAAACTGGCTTTTCAATGAAACAACCAGCGAAACTAAGATGACCGCGAGAGCCATAACGACACAGTCGAGGACCAGTTGCAGCCACTGCTGGATGCAGAAGAGCATATAGAATGGTTTTTGTGATCGGTTGAGTGCATCTTCCAACCGTTTTTGGAACGGCACCTTCCATTTCATGGCTCGAATGGCAGATATGCCTTGCATGGTCTCCACGAAATGTGTGAACAAAGGTGACTTTGCCTCAATATCGAGTAGACGAACTTGTCGCGAGGTACGGAGGTAGTATCTCTGCACGAAAAACAGAATGACACCTAAGGCAGGGACGGTTATTGTCAGATATTTTCCCATGATGCAAAGAATAACAAGCTGGACGCAGCAGTTGGAAACCCCTATCAATTCCATCAGCTCAGGCACGAGAGGGTATTTGAACACTAGATTGTATCTACCAAGATATGTGTTGATTGCTTGACTTGGGAGAGTCATATCAATGAGCTCCATGTCCTGGCTGAATCTGCGAGAATTAGTACGCACAGCACAAATCATCTAAAAACCAGGAGCACACACCGATTTGTTGTCAGCCCAGCATCGACCTTTTGAAAGAAACTAAAAGGGGCACTGGCAAAGAATGTCAGCGTTACAGGCATCTCATGAGTTAATTCAGAAGAGTCTATACTTCAAGGTAGATCTCAGCAGATGAGCGTGCATCATTAGGCCGGTGTTATTGATGACGCGGACAAACAACGCCCTGAATACCTTTTGTCAGTAGCATACCATGGAGACTCTCTGATGCGACTGACCAGCAGGCAGCTATAAGGGACACGAGAGAAATTCCAAACAATCCAGCATATACGCCGAGATACAATCCCGGTTTCTGATTCGGGTGTTGCTCGTTGGCATCGGACCACCTCTGAAGCCAGATGACTAGGTGACAGTCAGAGAGAAAACATGTAAGTCAATGGCGACAACTCACTTGTAAATTTATCTGAGAATCCAAAGAGCACAACCGAAGTTGCGAGAATAACAATCATCTTCCAGCCTGCGGACTGGAGGTAATATGCATAAACAGACCATGTACCATCTCTGCGAGACATGTCTCGATCGTTCTCTTCAGCCTCAGGTAATTGGACAATTGAATCAGAACTCTTAATCTGCAATTTGCTCACATTGTATACTTTTTCGTCCGATGAAGCTTCATTGGATTCGATATTGCTTTCTTGGGGCAAAATATGTCGAATGCAGTCGTACGTCGTGATGTTTGTCACCTTTCCATCGTCCAACACAATGATTTCATCAGCGTATGCTAGTACTCGATCTGTTTCTATTAATCCAGCCCGTGTGTCGCATTTCTGTTGAACTTACGGTTATGCGTTGCAAGGATAACAGTTCTTCCAGAATCCTTGAAGTGCCCATCGGATGCGAAGAGGCGAGATGTTATAGTAGTTATGGACTTGTTATCCAGTCCACTGAATACATCATCTAGCACCAAAACTGGAGCACGCGAATAAAGGCCTCGGGCAAGGGACTGTGTTTGTGTCAGATCAATGGTCCTAAGTTGGTCAAAGGCTCATCACATACAATTCTTTGCTTTTGACCACCGCTCAGCGTTACCCCAGAACTGCCAGCCTTGGAAAGATCTCCTCCAGGGATGTCTTCGAGGTCATTTTCCAAAGCACACGCCCAAATGACAAACTTATACCACTTTGGGTCAAATGATGACGGGCCTGTGATATTTTGGCGTATCGTGTCATTGACGATCCACGCGGTTTGAGGACAATAAGCGACCGTTGTCTGGAACTGTGACATTGATCCTTCTGTCAACACAGTTTCACCGAGTGCGCTTTCCAGTAGCGTTGATTTGCCGCTTCCCACAGGTCCTATGACGGCCGTAATCATCTTTCTCTTGACTGCAAATTCCAAATGGTGCAAGACGGGGGAGGTTTCCTGGGACCAAGAAAAACTGGCTTCGTGGAATTCTACTACTGAATCCTGCGAGGTTGGCGGTAAATTCGAGAGAGGGTCAGAGAGCTCTATGGAGTCTGTCGACACATTCTCGTCTGCCAAGTCGAAAGGAACTTTGGTACAATACATCTCGATGCGGTCGAAACATGCAATAGACTGGTATAGAGATGGGAGAAGTTGAACAAAAATGAGCAACGGCGCAGTCATCAGGGAGATCAAAGAGAGGGAGGTGAACACTCGTGTTGACAAGAGTGACTCACTGCCCTTGGCCGCGGAGATGATTGTAAAGATGCTGAAGGTAGCAAAGGGTGCCATGGTGAGAGGAATGTTTGCTAGTTTTACTATCAGTATACCGGAAGCTGCTTGTTCCAGCTGGGTATAAACGAGCAACTTACACAAAATGACCTGGCCGACAAGCAATCTCCGAAATCTTTCAGAGACTTGCAACTCTACTCGCCGCAACTGGGATACAGACTCGAACAGCTTCTCGGTCAGACCCAGCATTTTGATAGACTTCATGTCCTGCAACATGCTAGATGTCACGCTCAGTCTAGCTTGAACCCGCTCAATCCATCGGCTGATGGCTGTGTTGGACTTTTGGGAAATCGGGACGGTGGCAATGACAGCAACTACATTTCTGTTAGAGATAACACGGTCATGATGCAGGAGATCGCCTTACCAAGTGAGATAACTGCTGGGATCAAGCAAGCCACCCCCAGTTGTCGTTCCAATAGAAATATCCCAACACCTACTTCCAACGGGGCGGCCCATACCTCGTGCAGAGCATGGAGCGTAGAGACAATGCGCTCAACATCGGTTCCCATCAAGGTTATAGCGGGCTTGTCTTTGAAGTCACCTGAGCGGAGCTTCGTGGTCTGTCGGTATATCAGAGGAATAAGACCTGCGCGAGACATGGTGTTGAGGCGGAACGCTTGGCGCCAGTATACTGCGTTTGAGATCTGGATATATTGTCAATTATCTGTAAGGGCATGGATTTGCTACATAAGATACATACAGCCATCCCTAGGTATGTGAGCACATACGCGCCCACCAGTGCAGGCCCATAGATCTTATTCTCTGGGGTCGACGGCGAAGACACAAAATTCAAGGTGGCCGAGATGAGGAACGGTTGACAAAACTTGAACGCAGAGAGACAAAGTCTAGGGACGATGGCGCTAATCAATGGCAAGAAGTATGCACGACAAGCTGCTCGTAGCAGGCGATGTTTAGACCCTGGCTCGACTATATGGTTTGATAAGCATTGAGGTTGGAATTTAATCTGCAAGGCTTCTTACCACGAGCCCATGCATTTAGAATCTTCTTTTCAGCCTCTGCCCCCGTCAACGCATCGTCAACGTTGGGCATATCATGAACCGAAAGGATGGTTGAGAATCCAGTGCGAAACAATGGGATCACCCAGATAAAGAAGCTCCGGACCCAGAAGCTCGCGGTGACTTCTTTACTTGGCTGCCGATAGGCCATGCGCAAACGTTGAGTCTTGTGCACAGATTCGATGCTCAGCACAGCAGCCGTGCCAACACAGACCAATGTCCACGAAATAGCCGATTTGGTAGTATTCACCGATAGAAGCCAAAGAGTGCGGGCCCGAGCGAGTGAAAGAATACTTGTGACAGCAAAATAAATGATCATCAAGTCCGATGGCCGTATTGAGCGTTGATCTTCCAGCCATGACAGGAGGAGCGATGTCATGATAACAACGACATCCAGAATGCTAGAAGCCAATGCTAGGCTTGTGTATAGACGGGGTTCCTGGATGCGAAATGCGAGATATAGTAGATGGAAAAGTAATAGCAAGCCGAGAACAGCCTATATGGAACACCGTTCAGTATCTCGGGATTGTCAAGTATGAAAACATCATATATACATACAAGCTTCCACGTCGCAAACCGATGTGAGTTCACTTTCACCGGAGCACGAACAAGGACACTGAGACGTGCTGTCACGGCCAGGAGAAACAGGCCCGTTGGTAAGACCGTGAAAAGCGCATCTTCGAAAAGAAGTGTGAAATCAAACGGCCGACAGGAGAGGTTCACTCGCGGACCGAGAAGATTATCACTGTCAGCTGGACAGGACATGGCAGACGGATGAGGCTTTGAAAGAGAAAGCCCGTCAGCTTTATATGGCGTTAGGCTCCAATGTTAGTGCTCCGAACTCCGAACCTCTAACCCCGATACTTATCGATGCAACCTCACTGGAGGTTGAAGAAATCAAAATTAATCCGAGTTGTGTCACTTACAAAAGTACTGTGGATGATGTTTGTACGTGTAGAGAATTTGATTGGAACTTGATGCATAGACACATAGATGCGATTCATACACTTGAATGGAAAAGGGTGTTCTTTATATCGAGGTCAAATAACAACCCGAACGCTTTATATGACGCAGAAGATGAAAAAAGAGGGTTAAAGACCGGTATGGGGATATATGTATGGTAGAAGGAGAGATTAGTCGACAGAGCGCACCAATGTAAGTGCCTGTGCAGCAAAGAAAGGGAATAAAATGGGAGTTTAAGTGCAGTCGAAATGAGATCAGAAGGTCTGATCAACAATCACAGCTGTTCACTCAGTTCGGGTGCTCCTTGGAACCGGGGACTGACGCAGGAGGAGGGGGTAGATCGGAGCGACCCTGTTCCATGAGGTCGTCCCGATCTTGACTGAGATTGCTGCGATGGTGGAAGAAGCGGTTCCGACTGAGAGAGGATTGGCCGCTGCGGAAGCTGTGAGCGTCGGTCGACCGGCGACCTCCGTCTTTGCTGGGAGCACTCAGGTTCGAGGGGCGACGGTGCCGGGAAGAAGAGGTCCGACTCCGACGTTCCTCCTCTTCTTCAGTGACTTCTTGCATGCGGCGCTCGGTGGCATCGCGGTTGGCACTGCGGACGACATCGTCGACACGCACACCGCGGTCCTCAAACACATCGCCCATGATGTCGTTGGAGGCCATGTTGGACATTCCCAAGGAGAAATCGACGTGCTTGCGCTGCGAAACAGATGGACCACGGGCGCGGGCAGTGGCAGTGTTCATGCCCTTTCGGAGAATGGATGGGTGGCGGGCGGCGCTGCTGCTGCTGGTGCCTGTGTTTTCGGGGAGATGGTGAGACTCGGAGAGAGGGATCTCCTCGGCTTCGGTAGGCTCTTCGGGGCTGCCACGAGGACCTGCCGAGCGCGGGTTGCCATAGTTGACATGGAATGGGATGTCGAACTTGGCACCCTGGAGGTTCATGCGTGGTCCCTCGATGCCGATCTCCTGCAGGGCGATCATCATCATACAAATGAACTTGTTGCGGCGCTGCAGACGGAGACCCTCGTTCTGCCAATTGGACTTATAGAAGAAAACCACATTGAGCGTAAGAGAAAAGTTCTCTGTAACAGCACGCATTTCAGTAAGGATGTTGCTTTGGAAATCACGCTTCTCGCTGCGTACAAACTCAAGGAGTCGCTGTCGGAAGGTGTCGAGCTGGTCAATGGTTGTGCCGTATTTGATGACAATGGGAACGGCCTCAGCCAGTGCACCTGAGCGACGTTGGTTCAAAATGAAGAGTGTGTTGAGGTAGCTATTGGGCGCCTGAACCACGTGTCCTTGCATCTTCTTGAACTCGGTGTACAGTAAAGTGATCTCCTTGACGAAGTAATCATCACCGAGACCGGCATCACCGGCGTTACCGTAGATAGTCACACGGTCGCCGACATCAAAGGGGTGCTTGACGAAGACGAAAATGACCGACTGGAGGAACTCCTGAGCCGTGGCAGAGAACAACCACGACAGGGCCAGAATCGAAGAACCGGCAGAGGTGAGGACACCAGCGGCCGAGGTCGAGATGAGCGACAAGAACACAATGATAACGACGACGAACACGAAGAACATGAAGACATCATCCAGTTTCGACACAACAGAGTCCAAGTCCTTCAGCGATGCAGTGATGGACTTGCGTTCGCGACCAATATCCACACAGACGGCTTCCAATTCCTCCATGGAAATGTCACCATTCATGTCACGATCAAACATGGCGAATGCGGCCTCGGCTTCCTCGCTGTCATCGAAGGCAGCCTTGAGATCACCGCCGAACACCGTGTCAAAGCCATCGCGGACAAAAGTGCGGTACAAACGACGGGCCATGACCTGGCACCCCGAGGTGGTTCGCAGGAGAGTCAGGATGACCTGGTAGGCATCGGTGCTGCGAGTGGTCGTGCGACCAGTGACATCGGCCACGACGGCGCCAGCCACATCACCGACCTTGTTTCCGACCTTGTTCAGCGCGCCAACGGCCTTCCGCTGAGCCTTTCCAGCGTAGTGCAGGGGAGTCTTGGTCCCTGATGCACTGGATTCTTCCTTCTTCTCCTCAAACTCGTCGTTTTTATCGGGTAAAGTGCTGCGAGAGAACTCGTAGAGCTTCGTAAGACTACCAATCTGGAATTTATTGATCTCAATGCGGTCGGCGTAGGTGCGGAGATGAAAGCTGATGGCGATCAACTGGATGAGGATCTTCTCGATGAAATTGAGGATGGTCCAGACGAAGATGACGATGATGATCTTGTTGAGGGTGTTTTCCCAGCTCCGCGTGGCCTTATCGCCGTCAACGTGGTGGTTCTTCATCGTGGGCAAGAAAGAAATCTCCACGCCGAGCCACCAAAAGAACAGCGCCGCGTGGAACTCCAACTGCTTGCCCAGGTCGCGCCATTTCTTCGCGTTGTTGGTGAAGATACTGGCGAGGACACCGACCACAATAGGCACACACTTTCCGACGAGCTAAACAGCCTATTAGCAACAGTCTGGAAGCAATTTGCATGTTCAACTTACCCGACCGGCCCAGAGAGTTAACCAGACGATTTCCAACCAAATGGAGAACCACATCAACTGTACACCACCGACACTCGCATTGGGAAACTTGAGAGCACCGACAAGCAGGGGAATCAAGAGAATTAAAACCACAGGGGCAATATAGGTCAAGTAGCGCACGAGGAAGCTAGACTGGTGCAGCCGCTTCACAAAGACAGCAATCTTGGTATTGGGCGACTCAGGAGGCATGTAGATCGCGGCCTTTTCGTGCAACGGATTGGTCGCCTCGTCGAACTCATCCACCTGCTCGGAGCGACGCGAGCGAGCGCGACTGATCGAGTTCTTATCGTGTTCGTCATCGCCATGGGTCGAGCGCGACACCACGCGCTCGGCCTGGAGCAGCAACAAATCGTCCTCGAGTCGGGTGGCCTGCTCTCGTCGCGCGGAGGGGGTGCGCATGGGAGGTTCATCGTCGGCGACATCGTAGCTGGTGTCAACTTTAAGATGGCTCGGGTCGCGGCGGGTTTCGGGTTCTGTCACGTAGGTACCATCGTCGGAGGTGGGGGAGACGTCGTCGTCGTCTCTGTGCTTGTCCTTGGGTTGTAGATGAAGGGTCTTGCGCTCATCTATAGGCGATGACATGTTGGCACCAGGCCAAAGGAATGATGGAGGGGAAAGAATGTGAACGTGGCGATCCTGGTATAAAGCGAGTGAAAAGAAACGTCCACAGGTAGAGACAGGAAGTGCAAAGGGAGAAAAGAAATGAGCGTCGAGTTTCGAGTGAAACTCGGTGGATCTGGTGGGTCAAGACCAAGATTGGTCTGGACTTGTCTGGATTCTATGCTTGGTGGCTTGTGTTATGTTATCATGAGGCAAGGTGAGGTGAGGTTGTAGTTGTGGCTATAGTTGGATCTATAACAACCTCACGTTCTGCATTTCTACCTACATCTTCACTCTACACAATTATCTTAATACAATACTATACTAGCACAGTCAGGAGAGCTTTTCAAGTTACTTCTTGGCAAGTCTCGGCCAGCGAAGCATCGATGGGCATCGAGTTCCGCACATCTCTGACAGGCTCATCAAGGTCCACCAACTCCACTGCCTCCACCCAGTGGCGATTGTGATTTACTTGGAAATCCCAGACTGTATGAACATCTTCACTGCATAACTTGCTGAATAATAGTGTTATCTCGCCAGCTATAGCACCGCTGCATAAGAATCAATCTGAACTTTATAAGATATAAAAGTATCAAGGCATGTAGGTAAACAGACCCCTGGACCCCTGGTTGAGTCGTGATATCATTCATGACGCACAGTTGGACCTGTCCTATCTCGATCCGATCGATCCATGTAAAATATTGGAAAGGTACGCTGTAAATGTAGATCAACGCACAGGACATTACCACTAATGCACCTCGACGACATGAGAACGAATAAAACGGCAAAAACTCGGGTTCGCGTAAATGAGTGGCGTCGTGCTCTGCACCAACTGTGTCTACTATAATCCAAACAAAGTGTGGGCCGCGCTGATCTCTAACAGTTGACAGCAGTCGCACGTTGAGGTGGACACGTACGGGCCGCGTCCAAAAATAGGCGTGGCTCGGTTCTCGAGTTACGAAGAAGCAGTATAGAAAGGAGAACCAGCGTCAAGCTGGTATTTAATTCTCACATGGATGAAAAGTAAACTATCATCGCTGGAACAGTGCAAGGAAAGAGATAAAAAAGACCGGAACACCCTGCTCCAAGAGTAACAAACATTCAGACATAAGAGACGTGAGGGAATGGATACGGTGTGATGCGGGGGAATCCCCTGGTAAATAAGCACACAAAAGTTGTACAGAGCAAGGAAATGTAGGTGCGCAAAAATATGTAAACAGAATAGAAGATGATCGTCAGATCGAGAGGCGCTTTGGGGCTACTTTTATCGTTTGAACGCGGAGCTCAAGTCCGATCGGTGTCGCTCATGTGGCCGAGGGGTCTGCTCCGGATCCAGACTGGGGGAGGGATGAAGAGGCCGCGGGGTCGCATCAGGGTCGGGAGTAGGACTGAAGTCAGTGTCTGGGCCAGAGCCGGAGTCGAGCGTGTTGCCAGAGATCTTGACTTCAGGGGTAATCGGCGGACCAGAGAAATGGGGAATGCCCTGGGCCAATTCCCACGGCGGGGTGGTCTGGCCCTGGCTAGGCTTGGATGCAGGAGATCCAGAGTAGATCGAGGTATCCTGGTGTGACAAGGAGGGTCGGCGGTGCTGAGAGGTGGATGGCCCTGACCTTGAAGGAGTTGGAGAGTCCCGAGGACCAATTTGATCGTCTCCTTCTGATTCTTCAGGAATGCTGAGGCCCTCAAACCGATCCTCCAAGCTCGTGCTAGCAGGCGATCCCAAGGACCTATCGCTCTCTTCATTATAAGCCGAGTCGCCTTGATTACGAAGCGCTTCCCTCTCCTTCTTCAGGAGTTCTTCGCTGCCACTGACAACACTGCCACGACTGTTGGTTCGCATCATTTCAATGCCCAACTTGGAGCCAGGGCGGCGGTTTCGAGACGGTGGACTGCGACGTGTTTGAGAATTGCCAAGCTCTTCGTCCTCGTCGTCGCCCGATTCAGCACCTTCGTAGCGCTTTTTCTCCAGGGACTCCCGTTTGGCACGGATGGATTCACTTGAGCGTTGTTTCCTGGGCGTGAGACCACCATTTGCGTCCATGGCAGCTGGTGCAGTGGCGGCGTGAAGGAGGTGGGGAAGAGGAACAGCCTTAGGGTCCGGGCTACCAAGGTGCTGGTCGTCCGATATACCCAAGCCACCGTGACTTCGATCCCAGTCCTCAGTGTTGCGATTGATGATAACTGGCACTTCGTCGGATTTGATGGATTCCATATCACCAAAGACACTGCTGCTCATTGAATCGTCGCGACTGGATCCTCGGTATGAGCTGGGAGGGTTTAGGACGAATCCAGAGGACGCCGAACTAGGGCTATCCGCAGTGGCCGGAGCATTAGAGCGACCGCCCGAGCCTGGAACAGTGACCGTTTGGGACGTATTGTAGTCAGCGGAGTGAGGTTTCCACATGCACCATTTCGACAAGGCATCGGTGAGCTTGGGCAAAGTTGGTGGCTTCTGGATCAGTGCGTCAAAGTTGTGATTCTCAGGAAGGTCTTTCAAGTAGCCAGTAACAGCAATGATTGGAGTGTGCCGATTGGCGCTTCGTGTCTCCCGCACCATGCGGGCGAAATCAACACCGTTGACCTGGGGCAGTCGGTATTCAGTCATTATGATATCGAACTGAACCTCACTGAGGGCATATCTGACTGCCTCCGCGCCATTCGTAACAGTAATAGTCCGACAGCGAAGTTTTTCAAACAGCCGTTCCATGACCAATCGCGAGACAGGATGGTCCTCACAAATGAGCACATCCAACGGGCGGAAGAAGGGCCCTTCTTGAAAGTTGATCTGGGATAACCGCCGAGAGCTTTGTCGACGGCGTTGGACCTTCAGAAGTGCTTTTGTGCGAGGGTCTTCATTGTCCGAAGAGGATGGTGAGATATCGAATAGTTGACTGCGGCGTTTATGGTGGGTGGGCACGAAGGTCTCCTTGGGGAACGAGGACATGTCACCATCCTGAGATCCAATTGTGTGTGAGCGAGCACGGCTCGCCGGGACGCTACCATGGCGCTGGTTGTTGGACATCTTCTCAGGAGAATGGGCTGGATTCCGACTGGCTTTGACTGGAGACGAAGCCACAGAACCGAGTCTGAGGTTTGGCATTCGTCCTTGCTCGGCCGAGGACGGCTGGAAAGTCCCACTGGATTGGTGGGATGTGGTTGAAGAGGATCCAGAAGTCTTGCGCCGTTCCTGGGTTGTCCCAGTACTGAATTGGACCAGAAGGGGAGAAGAGGGTTGCGAAGGTCTGCTTGGGGACGAATTGGATTGGCTTAATCCCGACGGAGAAGACGGTCGGTTGTTGCCCTTGTTTTGCGGCAAAGCTCGTTGAAGTGACATGGGGAGCGGGCTCCCTTCCAAGGAGGGCTGACCTGAACTGTTGGGGGTCTGAACAGCGGACGACGGATTTGGTTGTCGGTGCTGTGCCTGCATAGCTTCCTGACGCATCTTCTGGATAACATCCTTGTTCGCTTTCTCCAGCATCGGCAGATTCTTGAAGTTGAAACTGCCAAAGTCATCAGCCATAGCCGGTTCGCTCAATCTCCGACTTCGCGAATCCCGAGCGTCGCGGACGTGAGGAGGGATATGCAGTGGCATCAACGGCCGCTTGGTTGAGTTCACCTGCGATCGGACTTTGAATAGTGCATCGTGGGGGCGATCGGGTCCGGTCGTGGCTGGCGGTTGAGGCGAGTGCTCATCTTCCAATTCCTCTGCAAAGGTCTGAAGAGTGGCACCACGGGCATCGAAGTATTCCGTGTCCTCAGGGTTTTCAATGTTGGGAACGAATTGTGCCTTGTCTTCAAGCAAAGTATCCCAATTGATCTCAGATAGCCATGGGTGGCTGCGAATCTCTGCTCCGCCGTTGGGGAACTTCTCTTCAGCATTGGCCCCAATCCGCTCGCGGGGGTTGAGGGTCATGAGCTTGTTCATTAGATCCAACGACTCTGCCGAGGTGTACTCCTCTGGATCATCAGGCCAATTGATCCTGCGATGAAGAATGTTCTCAAATACTTCGTCGGGGGTCGCCGCGTTGAAAGGCGGATAACCAAAGATAAATTCGAACATGATGCATCCCAAGGACCACCAGTCACTGACTTCATCTTGCCCAACACCATTGATGGTCTCTGGGGCCAGGTAGTCGGGGGTACCAACGAAGCGTCGATCGTGGTCTTCTGGATCAAAGAGTGCCATCACCGGGGGTAACATGCTTTGCTGGGGAGGTGTGTGTTGTGCGAGTGGGTTGCTGAAGGTTGGCTGAAGGGGGTGGAGACAAGGAGACTCGCCTGACTCACTTTGGCCCTCTTCGTCGACCATGCTGGTTGAAAACATGCTCGGCGATGACACAGATGGTTCATTGGGGTTGTCATTGAGCGAGAAAGTTCGGAAGATTCCATTGAGGCCATCGCTGCCCATACTGTCACTGCGGTATCCCGAGGCGCGACGGGAGCTCTGCCGACTCAAGCTACTCTGGTTGAGGTTGAAGTACGATGGCTGACTGGCACTGGCATTCACTTCCGGAGTGATAAGAGGAGTGGACCCTGGGGATGAGCTGGCCTGAAAATCGAATGAAGCCGACCGAGAAGATGCGATTGATATCGCACGAGTAAAAGAGCCTTGTTTCAGCAGATCAGGGGCGGCCTCATCGGGGCTCTTCAATACACGCTTCTGCCGTCCGACCAAACCCATTCGTGAAAGTCCAAAGTCAGTCAGCTTCAAATGACCGGTTTGGTCAATCAAGAGATTATCAGGCTTCAGATCGCGATGGACAATGCCACGGTTATGAAGGTGTTCAACTCCAAGAACAACCTCGCCAATGTACTTTTTAGCCCAATCCTCAGGAAGACCACCAAGAACCTTGACCAGTGAGGAACAGTCACCACCATTGAGATACTCCATCACCAAGTAGAGGTAGTCTTTGCTAGAAAAGGTCCAGTAGAGCTTCGCAACAAAGTCACTCTCGCCTTGCCACATCATGATAGCGCGTTCAGCTTTCACGTTGGTGACCTGGTTCTTGGCGATCATGTCGGCCTTCTTCAGGACCTTCATGGCATAGTACTCGCCTGTAGCTTTCTTCTTGACCAAATACACACTACCAAAAGCACCTTTGCTGATTGGCTTGATGATTTCAAAATCTTTGATAGATAGTGGCGCTGGTC